TCCGAATCCGATCTGCCTAAGCATCGGCCTAGACTGCCAAACCACTAAGAAAGTTCCCCCACTAGTCAGCATGCGGTGTACATGCAGTTTGGCGAATTGGATCCACATCACCGATAGATATGGTCGCATCTTGATATACACCTGTGTACAGTGCTCAGCTAAATTATTGAACAATGAAAGTGTGATAGAAAAATCCACTGTTTTTGCAATTTTTCTCAAAAGGAATGACATGTAAACTTGCTGCGTGGGATAAGAGATGTTTAGATGCGTTGCGCAATCTCTTCTCATCGTCCGGTATGGGAGCTGTCCTGTCATATGTGTGCGCTCTACCTGTGGAACTTGAGCGAACTTCCCTATTATAATGATCAAGTCGGGATCTGTACTTTGTTTTTTTTTTTCTGTTTTCCATAACAGGTAGAGCATGTAGACTCATGAAGGCTGACTACTTGAGAGGTGCTCAACACCTGAATGGTCCCCCCCCCCCTTCCGCTCTCGCACACCCGCCACATGAGCACCGTTCTTGGGCTGATCTCTTCGTAAACAAAGAACTCTGCCGAAATTGCTTCTGGATTTTAATTAGGCGGCAAGAGTTCCCTTCTAGGACCTGAGAAGGGACATGTGCTTTTCGGCGACCTTTGGGCGCTTAGTCATCTATCACATCCTCTAAATCCCCGTCGCTCCCCGTACCCATGCCTTTCTTAACTTGGATTAATGTTCTCGTACAACATCCATCACCATTTCATGCATTCCGTAGAACATGCCATACTAGAGCTTCCAAATCATTCATGGGTTTAGAGTCTAAGAATCCGTGCTCGGAGTCCATTGGGTCCGGAAGGACTTAGTACGGCTTAGTAAGCACTCCACTCGCTCTGCTTTCATTATTAACTTAGCCAAATTTGGCTGAAACATGATCGTAAAACATTCGCGGGCTCAGCACCAAAATAATTGTGGTTATCGTTAAGTTTAATGCAACTCAACTAATGTTGGGGTTAATAGTGTATGACGAAATTAGTTCCTTCTCATGTTGGTCAATGCCATCTTGAAATACTTACCTTGTACAGGCGAGCGTACTTCTAGAGCTTTGGTTAAAATAGTATTTTGGAGGCTGCTGCGAACCTGTAGGGATCTAAACTTGTTTTGAAAACACCTACTTACGTTTTTTTTATCTAAACGCTAAATATGCAAAGTTGTTTTTTGTATTCGTTAGCACTGGGATAATTGGCTAATACATTCCTCAGGCATATGTACCTAAATCACCACTTACATCGCTATCCAACTGGCGGCATATGACCTCTTAGAAAGGCGCGTTGAACGGGCCGAAAGAGGAGCTTTACTCGAGTCACCGAAAAAGAGGATTATGTTTTCTAATCTCCCTCAAGTGGCGTGCTTGCACCTACTCAACTCGCTTCTGCGACCTAGCACTCATGAATTTTCAATCCATATCCGAATTCCGATGCGATTTCACAAATCTAGACAAGGTTTTGTCTAAGCAGTGGATGTCGAAATTATTAAGAATTGGGTGAATAGAATTTTTTTGGAAGATAGATGATGTTCACGTAAAAAAATTTACGCGTATGAGATCTCAATCGCAAATGATCACCGCATTGCTTCTGTCTGGCTGGACATCATTCTTTGCCAAAATTGCCAAAGTGGCATATGTTGGTTGCATGATCCTCTAGTTATCCAGAACTCGAAAAATTCACAATGCTTTCATTTGAGGGACATCCTTACAAATGGTCAAAAGTTTTTTATTTCTACTTCATTCCTCTCATCTCATGCAGTGCGATATATAGTGTGACTCACACATTTCATGCACTGCCTTGGAATATGTTTTCCAAATCTTTTGAGCATAAGAAATGATACGTTACGCGCAGCATATTGCTAATAGTGGGATCAATGGACATGTCAAGAACTTCACTGAGATCCATTCAGGTTTCCCGATACTTATCATTTTGTGTTTTTGCAGAGCCAAGTGCTTTGTTCTACGCAGTAGAAGTAAGCTGAACACAACATGAGTAAAAAAACCAAATGGAGGTAATTTATAAAACTTTCCTCTTTGATGCTACCTTGTAGCGATACCTCCCATTTTTACAATTACGACCTTTCCTAAGATTCAGTGCATGAATCAGCAAAAAAGATAGTTTAATTTTATATTTTACCATAGCTCAAGATATGAGATAGTTGGAGGTCAAAAAATTAGAGTTCAAAAAATCGATTGTACTATGTTTCTCAGTCAATGTGCCATCTTAAAAGTTAGTTATTCAACTTTTTTGCTTTGATGAAGGGAGACCAGCTTATCAGTCAGTCCACTATGAATATTGTCCTTCAAAAAAAATGCAATCCCACTTCTCCACTTTTTTTATGACCGGTATGACTTTAACATGGTTGCTAGAAGTTTTTCTTTAGCATCTTAGATATTCTAGAAAAGGCGCTCAATACGTGAGAAGGCTGCATCCATTGCAATAACTTACAAATTTAGAATATTCCTGTAATTGCCCTCATTAACAGCCTTCTATACTACTAAGACATAAGGAACGTAGAAGTCAGTATGTGCATTTTCTTACACGTTATAACAAGGCTCTGATGTATAGTTCGATTTATTGCTGTTCTTCTGTCATGGTTTCGCGTTTTCAATGAACCTATGACAGCTCCCTTCATCCTAAACATTCTATATGTGACTGATTTTCTGAGAAGCTCTGAAAAAAAAACTGTGGAAGAACTTCCAAAGCTTAGGTCATCTGTTAAGTTTTTTCACTTATTTTATGAAAGGCGTAAATCAGAGGTGTTCCTGTGGACTTGGTGTTCAGTTTCTAATATTGAATGTCAGCATGACTCAAACCTTGATAAAGTAACCTCGCATATTTTACCTTTTTCGAGATCCAAATAAAGCATATACTAGATCTTTATAATGATTCTTGAAATTTTGCGTCATATTATGTGAATGACATACATTCATTGAACAATATCAATCAGTATAAATTATTTTCATATTTTCACCTCATTGTGACTTTTGGAAGCGATATCAAATATCACTCATGATATAGTAAATGTGTGCTCTACCAATCAGAATTTGATCTCTCCTTATTTTATTTTCTTGCATTTAGTTATGCGCATAATAAACTAATCCAAAATATTTCGTATCTCAGACCTTTCAAGCACTTGGCGTCGCTCCAATTGGGATTCGTGAGTATGCAGTTCTATGAGCCCCATATATCATTGCTAATGCGCTAAAGAGCTTACCTCAAAAGGTCACTTCTAAAGCGCTCTCTTATTCGCTTTGACTTTAACTGATTTTCAATCCAGCCCGTACTAAACTCTCAGTGTAAGAAAAGCGAAAGCATGGCAGTGCTTTGACTGCAAACTCGATTGACGATCGTAGCTGAGTTGCATTACAACAGAAGCTGAAATGTGAAAACAATGGCATACTGGAGAAGTTCTGAAGCCATTGCTGTGAAATGCTGCCGACATAGCCAAAAAAACTTTTGCTGCTTGTTTGATGTTTTTGTAAACGATAGGGAGTTTTCTCTGGCAAGCTACGTTCCTCTTGTACGGAAGGAACTGTCCAAAATCAAGCCGTCATGTAGATTGTCGTGTGTTTGTCTTAGAGTTGTCGAGAAGTCTCACTCGCTGCTGGCTGGACGCATACGTGTGTACATGATTGATGAGTTTTTGCGAGTCTGGGGTAAAGCCAAGAAACTTCTGTCTGTATGAAGAATGAAACAGCGGGTTTGGCCGCGTTTCGGTAGTAGTCAATTGTTTTGAGAGTTTATTCATTGGGCACAGTTTGAAGTCTATCAAAAAAAAATCACCTACGCGCAAGTGATTCGCAGCAAGTCATCTCGGAATATACTTCTATCTCTTAGATACTGGGCAACATAAATATTTCCACATTCGTCACGAAAGGCTCATCTTCTGCACCAGCAAGTGTGTGGTATTCATCTTGGCAACACCGCCCTGTTGAGGCCGTGAGAACATCCAGTCTTTTTCTACAGCCGCTGACATCTGGCACAAATGATATCCGCCACAGTACATGTTTGTTCAGAAATCTGGACCATGTCTTTCTCATCGTAGTTGTCGCAGTGGCCCAGTAGCGCTGCTGTTGACGTGAGCCGACAAGTGCTATTGAGTCGGCGTGCTAACCAGAGGGTGCGATTATCCGCCCTCTTTTATTCCTTCCTTTCTAATGCTATCAATCCTTCCCACTTCCAGCATTCCTTCGCTTTTATCAGCTCCACATAGAGCCCCGATCGTTTCCCCGCAGTGCTTACAGGCGGTCATTGTTCTGGCACGGATTCGCGCCACTAGCTATCCACGTCAGACGCGGCTTACCTCGCAGAGTTCGAAACCCTCCGCCCACTAAATCTTGTCATAAGGAGCACCGAGCGATGCGCAGCGCATGCGATTTATAGCTGACTCCCCAGCCCGGACATGTACTTCTGACCGACGATCGAAATATTGGCCAGAACCCCGTAACAAGAATTATGCGCGCCACTCGAACTCAAAGTATCGCTCCTAGCATCTTTTCTCACGTCACGACCCCTATCAATGACTTACTTTTCCTCACTGCTTCCGCATAGTGCAAAATTTCGCTGCGCTGGACGCCGTAGGAGACTTTCCATCATTTTCACGCTACCGCTCCGCGTTTCATAACAAGTGTCCGCCAAAAAAGTCCCTTTGCGAGCGACTTGAATTTCGTCTATAAATGAGATGCTCGCCTTGCTATTTCTAGAGCGAAAACAGCGCAAAGGAGCAATTCGATATTTTGGGACAATTGAAGCAATTCGCAACAAACTTTTTTGTTAAATGCTGCCATTACTAGGCCCTCCCCTATCTATAGGCTTGTTTGCCACACTTAAAGTGCTGTTCTTTCAAAAGACGTCCCAATTTGGAGGGTTTAGTCATCGAACAACAATTTTTGTGTGAATCGGATATGTTTTTCCGCCCTTTGTTGCGTTCGCGTTCTTCTAATCGTGTTTTTCGCTTCTGGAGCTTTGCGGTCTGCCACTAGGAAGTTCTTGCTCGCTCATCATCCTCGGACCCAGCGAATGAGGTGGAGATCACCACTTGTTCAAACAGCAATTAATGAGTTATAGCTATGCTTATTGCTCGTAAACCTCGATGCGATTCCTAATGAACCGCAGTGGGAGGCTAAGGCTGCGGAACGGAGCGCGCCCGCCCAGCTTCTGGGAGCGATGCTCACTTGATCCGTAGATTGCTAGTTCACGTCGTCTCATAGTCGGCGAGGTCCACAAAATAAGCAATTGCCTAACAAGCATGCCTGCCGCGAGCCTCCAACATTTGCCGTCTTGCATGTGATTTGATATGGCTCGCACGCCAAGCTCGCTGCTTCTCAAAAATTGAATCCAAGACGTCGTGTCGCCATCAAAAAGCCACGAAATTCGTTTCTTACAAGAATTTGTAAATGCCGCTCAGCGCATAAAAACCAAGACAGACATAGAATTGCTTCGCGACAGCGAAACTTGCCTTCGAAGTGTGTCTCCCATTTGCTGGTCATCTCGCATCCTTTTCGTGGATGAGGAAAATGTCTGGTCATCATTTATTGACATTTCTCGAATGATGAAGTGTTTTTAGTCACGCTACGTTCCTCACGTAGATTATATGGAGAATGGAATTTCTAGAGATTCACGATGGCCTGCTTGGGTGTAAGTTCATTTATGTTTTCGAACTTGCTTGTCTTTCACGATCAAAAGCACCATGGACTGCAAGCGCTATCTAATCTCGATCTCAGTTACGGGCAGTCTGTTGACACTCCTCTGATGGGTGGTAACTCGTAATTACTAGTAACTAAATTGGCATTGGCATTCATATGGTAGATGCCCTTTGCATTGGTCTAAAACAGTCATTTTGAGGAGATTATTCTCCATCCAGCAATAAACCAAAGCGGAAAGGATTATAAAGCGGAAGTCCACTAAACGATTTGTATTTCATGCTCTAACAGATATGCACTGAAGATTCTTTTAGAAAGAGAAAACGACCAACTCATCTGGACTTACTCGGGAAACTATAAGTGCAAGTGGAACCGACAGTGCAGTTGTTTTTCCGGGGAAAACCAGACACTTTCATCCAGAGCAAGAGATTTCGCATTGTTGCATTTCTAAAAACTCAAGCGCTCCTCTCCGTCTGTGAATTGCTAATGAATTCGGAAAAGAAAGCTTGAGCATAATTATTTCGTTCATGGCTAGCACTCTGTACACTTATCCACCTCTCCATGCAGCTATACGCGAATTATGGCCAGTTCGGCCATCTTAGCCTTTTCAATCACACTCGCGCCTCGCTACTTTATGCATGTTTTTACAAGTTTCAATTTCACGACTCGGTAGTGGCACCACCATAATAAACTCCTAGCGGTATATGTATGTGGATGTGATGAGCGTTCGGTTACGATAGCGAGAATTTTTTTCTGGGACAGCACGGAAAGGAAGAATCAAATTTTACGCTTCTGCGCTCTGTGCGGGAAGTTTCAATTTCCGACAAAGGAAAGGAGACTTACCGCTGCATTTACATCAAGAAAACAACTTCCTTTTTCCTCAGAGTGCGGAATGGACTTTTTTGCCAGATAAAAAGGTGCACAAAAGCGGGTATGGAATAGCGCAGACATTAGACCACTATAACTTGATATCCCACAATCTTGCTCAGTACATTCTAAAGTATAATTTTATAAACTGCCCTAAAATTACGTTCAACTTTCAATGTCCATAAATTGTCACCACACTTACTTTAGGGCATGATGCTGTACATCGTATCTGATTAGAGGCGGACGCGAGAGCAGAGGGAGTCACATAATTTTCTTTCTGAGCACATCTAGCTAGTTCTAGAAGCAAGTGGTTCCTTTTCCAAAAGGGCCGTATGTTCTTTAGTTAGTAGGTATACGCTATAACTAAGTGCCGTGAGTGGTGCGTAGGGCGCATAAATCATGACAAGCATCTAATCGTGAATTCTAGCACTGCATTGCTCTAGACCTTATCGTGGCCATATACCCGACTTAATCTCTACCACACTCCCATTGTTGTTAAGGGTCCTGGTCAGAAAGTGAAGACTCTAAGAATTCGTCAATCATTCACAATGGCTGACATCCGATCGTAATAGTGAATAATTACCTCCTACTTGCCGCAAAGACTCCGAAGCCATGGATCACCACAACACCAACTTACGCCTCCTACCGAGCACGTGGCTGCAATGATCCTATTCATTTTCTGTAAAAAAAATATTCTTCACTTTATTTTCATCACAAAATCGCAGAGTAATTAATGTGGACAATTTCTATTTCATTACTTTCACCTGTACTAAATCTCAACTTCATATATCTCTTCATCTACATATATAGAGGTTTCGCTGAGAGATCACTAGACCCTCTTGGTGTCGCTGAATTGAATCATAGCATAGTAAACAGAGCTTTCTCAAACTTAACGCAAGCGAAACTAAAGATTACTTAGACTAATCCTAAAAGTTGTTACGGTTCGACTAATGAAGTATCAGTTTCTACGACCAAGTGGAAGAAAATATCTTGAGTTCCCAGTTCATTTCTGCAGAACAGAGACAATGGAGACGTTTGGTCCAACTTTCTAAGAGATTTGACGTCAAGGAAGCTGCAAATTTAACAGATATGTTCAGTAAATGAATTCTGAACAGGTTGTCCAGGTTTTGTCGCTATGGATCGGGGGGGGGGGGGGGGATTGAATGAAGATAAGCATGTAAAGAGATATTTCTAGCTTGTCAGCTGAAAATCAATGCAAGCACAGAGATTGCCCTCGTTTTTGACGCAGCAAAATTTCATTTCTGGTTTTAAAATAAACTTGGGTTTCTTGTAACCAAACTTGTTAAGGGCATTTTCCATTTTTGTTGTTTCCACTCTCTCACGCTTTTGTGTAGGTCTCTAAACACTCAATGACAGGCCTTGTTTGTATGTTCCCCCAAATTTGGGACATATGTGCACTTCAAGGTGACGATGCAGCTCTGAGTCCTGCTGAGTCCTCAATTTTCCGAAATAAAAAGTGCAATTCCACATCTATACTATGCGCATGCACAGCGGATAGAGCTATTACCATTTAGTGAGGATGCAGAATCGGAAAATACAAACCAATTGAAACCGCATAGGAATTCAGGAATTCAAATTTGCTTCTGGGAAGTGCGAAAAATTTATCTATTATTCATTTCATTTTAGTCTTTCTCGCCACTGCATCTCTATCAGCCTTCTTGAAAGCGTGATATTCTAGGAATTTAGTTGCATCATCGTTTTCAATAAGAAAACACCCGGTATTGAGAGCCTATTTCTGCCAATACTATTTAGTAGCCCGTTGTGTACAATGAGCCTGTTAAGCCCCCTTCCCCCACCCGTCATTCCACCTCCCCTAAGCCCTAGGATCGCAAAACAACAACGGATGCAAATTTTACGCCTAATTTCATTACGAACTTCCTTTCCTAGTAAGAACATTCCTTTGTTTTACTATATGGGGAGTAAGCTTCTCACTCCTTTATAATCCCCTTCCAGCCCACTTCAAAAAAGTGGTAAACAAAGAATCTTACGAGTTTTAGGATTAGTCTGGCCCTCTTAGAAAAGGTCAACAACACTCTGTAGACGTCTGTTCTCAAAATACTCTGAACTCTTGAATAATTCTGCAAAAGCCAAACGAAAAACAGGGAGCAGGAAAATCTGCCAAAAACTTTGGTATCAATAGAAAATAATGCAGGGAAAGGAAAAGAATGCTTTTCGGCTCCCTTGGTGCAAGTGAACTTCTTTTACTGCGAAGTGCTTCAATCAAAATCTGCCAACTACGAGCGCACAAAACGCTGTAATTCAACTCCGCTCCATAAACTTTCCATTCTCTATGACTTCATGTTATACTCATAGCTCCATACATCAAGCTAAAGTCTCAGTCTCACGGACATTGCCTTCCCCACGTCAGGCACTCATAAAATCGTCAAAGCTTATGCTTCTGACCATAACTCTTTTCTGCGACTGGGTGTCACCACTTTGTAAACACGAAATCTTATGCTAATAGATTTATTTCTACTTCATTTATGCTGCTGCATATTAAACGTTTTCACTATTTTTGCAGTAGTATCGCATAATCCACTCTTCCTCAAGAAAAACCTCGAAGTTGGGCAGTTGACGGGTTTGTATCGGCTGTTGCTATTTCTTATTAAGTCATAGTAACTGCGTGATGGTAACAAGGTTACCAGCCGAAGCTATAGTGAACAGCGACAAATTCGGCTCATCAAATGCTGAGATAAATCGCGCCGAAATTTCCGCGCGGCTTCAATGTAATTTCCTCCATCAATCTCGTGAAAGTTTCCGTCAAAGCACCACAATAGCTCCACTTCTAGGACGATTCGAACAAAAGCTTTACTTGTTATTTTCTTGCTATTGATGTTTGACTGTTTGACTGTTTGATAAATCGCGGAAGCAGTTGCTAGAAGAGGAAAAGGAAAAAAGTTATGAGATGACATGTGCACTGTGTTTTGCTTAGGAAAGATCAAGAACAAAGAGACGAAGGAACTTAGCACAAAAAATCTATGACTGCAGATGGAGTGCGCTGTTCATAACGGAGCGTAAACACTCAGAAATTCTAGATTTGTGTGGAATTCAGATAAAAAGATTGCAGTTGTTCAAAAACTTTATGTAAAATGCTTCCCACATCAATTCCAGATTGCACATTATTTCTGAATCCAGTAAGCTAGGGAATCCGACAGCAGACTGAAAGCATTTCCAAGAAAATTGAACTGTCACCACTGTTCGTGTGATTTTTCACGCAAACTAAAGAGCCGAGATAATTCTTCCTCACTGAAAAGCATCTGTCACCTCAGCCTCCTTGTTATTTTCGCGATCAAATTTCTGTTTTCGCTGTTGTTTTCAGTATCAGAAGTGTGATGTAGAAAATCTTGAGACACTGCTTGTCATGAAAATAATCTGGCTATTTGTCCTTTTGCATGTTTTGAAGTTTTTTTTGACAATACAAGCTTCAAGGATCTCCATCTTTCTTCGAAGATATCTAAAACTTCATTTTGGAAGACTTTTGAAGCTTTATTATGGAATGTACTGAGCTAATAGCTATAAGTTCAAGTATAATAAAGCACACATCTCATGATCCAAAATGTCGCAGTCCAGGTGCTACATATCCCAGCCAAACCTCAAAAATTGCTAATGTTTGATTCTCGCAATGGAAGAGGTTCTTGACTGCACGTATAGTGCAAAATAAGTCTAATTCACATAACTTCACGCTCACGTTATTCCGAACCCGCTCGCCGTCGTTGAATTATGCTTTTGAGTGTCGTCTTTGTTCCATTCAGCGATGGGTTTTCTTCATATGAGCAGATTGAGGAGTAATCTAACCTGAGTCGAAAAAACATAACCGAAGTGATTTATACCCCAAGGAGATTCTGAATGTCGTGGAGCTGTTAGACACGCTAATTCTTTTCTTATACATCCTTTGCGATGTAGAAAGTACTGCAACGTGGACAAACAGCTCACAACTGAAAATGCCGTAAAGTCTTCGTATAAGTCTTCATAGGGTCATCATGACAAAATCTTTGAATTGGAATTTCACAAGTTCTGACTCTTGAAGAGGTGACATAATGCCTGAGAACCTCACTGGATCTCTATAATAGTCTTATAATAGCAAGAGATTAACTGCTCTGTCTTTGACGTTGAAGCCAATGTACAAAGTGGAGCTAGAATGCTTTCAGAGAGGCTTTGAATGAGGGGGTATTTGTCAAGCAATCTGTTTCTTTGAAAGAAAACCAGGACGAGATACACACACTTAATTCTGCAGAATCCTACTTCTAATGCTTTTCAAATTTGCCTCTTGACCGTAGTTAAACGAGTTTAAGCATTTAGCATTTTTTGAGGAGATTCTTATATTCGAGTCAACACATGTATTTATTAGGTTGTCTCAGAAGTCTTTTCATTTTAAGTTTTCGCTGTGATAAGTCATGCATTTCTTATTCTAAATAATTATCTGATCATGCTTTTGCACCAGCTTTGATCTGCCTCAGGATCGTAAAATCTAGGTTTCAGATGCCCAGAAAATTAATTCTTCATATCTTCGTTCAAAAAAGTCCTACACATCTCTCACTCGCTCATGTATATACACTTCACATCAGACACTCATGTGCCGCTGCTGTATTTTTTTAGAACTCAAGTAAACAAACATTTCCATGTTTTTGCCAAAGTGATGCTATGCTGTTCTTACACTACAGTTGTATTCTGCAATCCCTTGGAAGTACAATCGTAAAATTTTAGCCCTCTATAAGCTTTAGTTCCCAAGTATCGAATTTAGCTTCCCTCACTTGGGTTTTTCACGCTTAACTCAACATTTCTCGGGAACCGGAGCTCATGGTAAACTAAGAATCTACGGTTGTACTTCTGAGGGCTTGTAGTATACAACTGTTAATGTAAGAACAACACAGCATGTCTTTGGTGAAAACCTGAAAATTTTCGTTTGCTTGATTTCTTGCTACTAAAAAAATGCAGCAACGACACATATGAGTGTCTGATGTGGAGTGTATATGCGTGAGAGAGTGAGAGATGTGTAGGGCATTTTGGAATGAACATATAGAACATTTTCAATTTTATGGGCATCCAAAACTTTTAGGTATGGTTTTAAATCTGTGGTGATCAGAAGTGCAAAAGCATGAACGCCATCTTACAGAGCTTGCTTCGCTCTATCGAATGGTATCCTGGTGTCTACTTATAATAAGAAGTGTATGACTTAATTCAGCGAAAATTCAAAAATGGAAAGACTTATGGGACAAGCTAATATCTACGACATAATTTAGCTGCTTTTCTTGAAACCGGATCTTCAAACACAAACATATACACTTTGTAGCATAAGTAGTAAAAGTGGATTTGTCTTGGGGGCAATTTTTTGGCAGTTTGTATGTGGTATTCATTACCAGACCACAACTGATCGGGAAGCCTTCAAAAACAAGAATGCAATCTTCTCATACTTAATTTAGAAGTTCTTCTGTGCATAGCGCTCACGCTGTTTCAGGTCTAGGTCGAAGTGCCAATTTTGAAAGATCTGTGGCGTGCGGTTTTCAACTGCATATGGCACACGTCTTTTTTACTCAAATGCTGCAAGTTGTAAGCTCAAAGGGAGTGCGCATCTTATATATAAAGCTGAATGTCTGTTTGTATGTCTGTGTGTCTGTCTGTACGCATGTTCCGAATAGAAAATTCCATTTCTGTACCGATTCGGACCTTGGGGGCGAGTATCGTAGGCTACTTTTCATTATCGATTGATATCGATTTCGTCGATTTTTATAGAATTTTCTTTGTAAAGTTTGACCTGTGGGGCTGGGAGTTGCCACAGGGGGGGGGGGGGGGTAAGTGAGCATGGTGATTACTAATACAGGGGGAAAGCGAATTGGCATGTAGAAATGGGCAGAGGGAAGGTTGTACAGGGATAGGGATGGGATCTTTATCATAGTGTTTTGACAGGGCCGGGCAGAGCCGGAAAAGCCAGCTAGTAGAGTTATAAAAACTGGAACGTTGCCAAAATGCGCGGCGCTGATATCGCATGGGGTATACTTTAGGCGTTAATGGTGCTAATAGAAAAGTAAGACTCTTGATGGTATTCTGATGAAGAAAAGCAATTGATTATATGCGTAGAATCATAACAGCAAAATAAAATGCAGGCTTAACTTTATCGAATGGTCATGACTATCTCAAGCCTCGAACTTATTGGCATCGAAGGTAACGCAGAGTAGCTTGTTATTCGATTAGAAATATCCCGTATTGATTTGCTACTAATTGAAGAAGATTACTGTACCCACCACTTTACCATTGCTCCTTGCATCTATGGCAAATATTGATGTGTGCTTATAAAGTTCATAGAGCGTGTGCTATTACCCTTCCATACAATTTTTAAACTGTCCATCACTGCCCCTTATAATCACATTCCAGTGACGCTGCGGATATAAAATCCATATACCTTTATTGTCTCACGCACTCTAAAGACTGATTACGTTCTCTACATATATAAGAAAGAGTTCATCAGAGTATGAGAAATTATGTATATTCTGCTGTAAGAGAAGTAATTCCTTCGTAAGCATATGAGTTTCATTTCTTCAAATCCAATACAGCGCACGATTTCAGTCCTCAGGCGATTTGGCAGTTCTTCGGATGCTTGTAAGTCATCGTAACCGTATTTTTGATTGGATTTCGGACATAATCAACTTACAGTCATAAAGCTATGTGATTAGAGCCGCAGCGATTGAACATCTGGCACAGAACCACATCGCGTGTAGACCAAAATCGCACGAAATGTACCTGAGAGGATATTAGAGTGAAATGTTAGGGGTAAATACAGAGTACTGAAGCCAAAAAATTCTCGGATTTTTTTTTCGAAGATTAGATGTTACTGAGTGGAATTCTATTATATATAAGATACGACCCGCATTCATTCGAATGCGCAATTTACGAATGCTCGCTTTTGACCTACCTAGCTCTTCAATTTCTAAAACTACGCTCTGCACAAGTGATAGGCCTTACAAAGTCTTGCAATTATGACGTAGTCCATTATAGATAAATGTTGTGTCAGTCGTCACGTTTGAGGCTTACTACCAAGACTGAAAATTTTTTGAGAGCGCCTGCTGGTTCAACCACTTTCATTAACCTTTTGGTTTCAGTTTCTGGTAACTCAGCTGAAACAGGCTCGAACGAAAGTGAGAGACTAATGGAGAGCGATGAAGACACCAACATCCAAATCGAGGTACCAACCGGGCAAAGTCGAGGAAGAATGGGAAGAAGGTAAGCCTAACTGAATCACGAGAGATCCACGGTCGAAAAGGAGTTACCCTGAAATCTTACACATAAGTCTGCTAATATCGCTCAGACCCTTCAGTTTAAGTCCCCCAAACAACGATATGTCAGGGCTCGCGCAGGTGGTTTATAAGCAAGCTGGGTATCGTTTTTAGAACAAAAAGCAAAGGGGATATCGTTTCTTGTGGTTGAAAAAACACAACTACGTTCTTTATAGTCGACGTTTCGTTTTCTATTGTACGCTTTTCTACGTTCAGGGTTAAGGATTAAAGGGAACTTTGTAAAATTTTGCGGAAGTCACGGGGGACTTCGTTTCTTGCATTATCGGAAAGTCACTTCGTGCCGAGCCCTGCGATAAGTCCTTTTCCATTAGAACTATCCTAAAATCTTATCAAAGTCCCTAGACTGTCAGATAAGTCAAGACTTATCTGCAGGCTGACTTATTATGAAGCTATCTGATGGGAGGTCCTATCTTTGAGATTTTGGGGTATATAATTAGTTAAAGGCACCGTCCACCCAGATTCTCGACTTCCAGATTTTTTGTCGTTTCAGGGCCTACTCACGTCCCTGATTACGAATATGAAATCGAGAATCCGCGAAAATTCCGACAATCCCCGTTCCGGAGAACCCGCAGGCCGATTCTCCGCAACGGTGAATGGATGGGCACGCACGGATGGGCGGGCATGGATGGGGAAGGCGGTGCCGTCTGGGGGTCCTCGTGCATCTTCTTTACTCCGGAGCGATTTTCTCGCTTCTGAATGGGCATTGGCTTGATAAAGGGCCCTACCATCATATGCTGCCAAAAGCTCAACCTCAACTTAGGGTGGACGGTGCCTTCAAGGGGCAAGAGAAAGATTGACGAAGATGAAAACAACTGTACATTTACGGTCAGGGGGATAAGTGGGGTACCCGCATATTCTTCGATCTGCTGGCAAAATACCAGCGTTGTGCGCTCGAGTGTGTTGCAAGACTTTAGCGAAGCGGGCGCGCTGCTCCGCGATAGATGCTTCTTCTTAATCGCCAGGGATAGGCGGGCACAAGAGAAAGACGACAAGTTTTTCGCGTTCCGCTCAGATTGTTGAAAAAAGGTGTTAATCAGTTTTGCGAGCCTGCTTGTTTGATTCGAAGAAGCAGCATTCTAAGTATATGAAGAACGGAGTGAGAAAAATGTTAGCAAGCGGTTTCGTCAGAACTCATGAACCTTCCAGAAATCTGCGACCGAAGTGCGGGAAGTCAGCAACGAACATTGGCCTTTGCAACCCTACTCAGAATGTTGTCCGCATTTCTGTTCTTGTCTAAAAAAGACTTAATCATATTAGCGTAGCAAAGCACTGTATAAAAGCATTAAACGGTAGTGTATTATATGTCGCAGCGTGTGAGTTATGATAGACCTACATACGACAACAAACGTTCATATCGCTTATTTATGCCAGTTTAGCTGCAGTAAACATATAAATTCTGCTCGCAAGCCGTTCCGTAGTCTTTAAGTAGTTACCAATGTTAGATATGCTACGAATAGATCCCCTTGGGCTTAACTTTATAACAAGCAGTAAATCCTCAGTCTAGATTTAATGAAGGCCATCATAAGTTGGGCGAACAGCTTCCTCGCCAGCGACAGTTGTGGAAAGCCGATGCTTGATGACATTTTTGTCCTCATCTTTTAGTCTGGGATTAAGGCTTTGAAGAGGACTACATAAGACTTGAGGACATACCCAGAAAGTCTAGGAAGAGGTTTAATTGGCAGACTGCCTCGGACCATACACTTATTGGTGAATGAAATAAAAGAACGAGAAAGTAGGTATCGATGGCGTATGTCCGAAAAGGCAGAAATCGACAAAATTCTTGTATTTGGGGCGGTATATACCAATCTCCCGTTCGGATAGGTGTCCCCGTACAAATCGTAATTCTGTCAGACGCGGGCGCGCAAGGCCCATGATGCGCGAGCGTGGGCGCCTGGCCGTGCAAGAGCCCGGTCCGGCGGAATTCGGTGGTCTGCAATGCCTAGACGATCCGATCTCGTTCGTGTGTGAATCGTATGGAAAAGCGATCTTCAATTAAGTGGCCGAGAACGTTAGCAAATCGAAGGATGCAGTCACTAGTCATCGACTAAGGTTCAATAATTGTTATGTTGCAACAGATTTGGATTTGAGATTTGCTTTGATTTAAATAAGAAGTTACAACAGTTTCAAAGTCCGATCTCTCCAGTCCAGGCTCTGAATCTCTTGTGAATCCAAAGATTAATAATCAGATCTGAAACTGGACAAATTTCTTGCAACATTACAATTATTACCTTACTCGATGACTAGCGATCAAATCCTCGATTTGGTAACGTTTTCGGCCACTTAATCGAAGAGACGCGCTTCTCCACACGATTTATACACAAACGAGATCGCATTGTCCAGGCAGTGCAGACCTACCGCTGCTGCCTGACCGGGCTCTTACACACAGTCGCCCATGTTCGCGCATCATGGGTCTTGAGCTCCCGCGTTTGACTGGATTACGACTTGTACGGGGACACCTACCCGAACGGGAGAGAAGCTGCTATACTCGCAGCAAATGCAGTTCAGTTATTACCATGGTCTCCATAGCTAATTGACAACTCAAAGATAGTCAGAGATGGGCTCTATGATCAGTTGCACAAGAACTGTCCGCCTTCTGTGCATGCAATTACAGTCGTTTTATTCCACTAGTTACGTGGAGATCATTTGAATTAGAGCGGACGGATTATGTGGAGCACGGCACATTCAAAGGCAATGTGAGTTGATACAAAAGGAGCCATGCTCTACCGCAACCGGCCTGAACGAATTCAGATGCAAAATTTTCCAACATGTGACTGCTGATTGTGATATGAGGAGAGTACATCCTCTCTAGCACCACGTTTTTTCTGTTTTTACTTCCAGGTTCACGCTCAATCCTCTAATATTTGCAAAAGAAGAGAAGGAAGCTAGAAGGCAATCATTAGCACAGCTCAAGCTCAGCTACTACCCCAAGCATATGAATCGTAAGTCAACTTTGATTCAAGTTGTGACTCTTCAAAAGCGCTTGTGCACGGCAGAAATCCAGTCGCGGAGCAAATACTACCAAGCTGAAAAACGTTCATTTTAGGAATATCATGTTGGAACAAAATTATTTCACTTTAAATCAATTCTCGTTGTCAACCTTCCTTATGATTTTAGCTTTCTTTGCGATAGGAAGGTTCGCGTTTTGGTGACCCGCTCTAATGCAGGTTTCAAAATGTTGACTTGGAGCAAAGAGTTCCGAAAACAATGCCTCAGATTTTGCAATTTGTTGGGTAGCAAAAAATCTCGGATGTCTTCAGCGCCTTCGAAATAAACTGTATGCTTTTGTGACCGGACTCATCGCATAACAGCAGAAATGAAAAATAATAGAAACACTAATTTACAAAAAACATCTCGTTTTCTATTTTCTTCATTGAAATTTGTCTCATCTGTATGCAGGATCAGATCCTGCTACTGATATCACTAACTGCTACACAAGGAATTTTCGGTTTTGACTGCAGCAGATTTTGGGACAAAACGCAAATTCATGGATTTTAAAGGCATTTTTGGAGGCATTGTCTAATACTCTAAAGTGATGCAGACTATTTGTAGAGTGCTAAAGTTGTTATAAAATAAAAGACTGGAATGGGAAAATAGAAAAGGACAATGTGATAAAGGCATTGGAACGAGAAAATTGATAAATTCGATATGGGGCGCGGCAGAACAATTCTCTTCAACTAGAAGAAGATGTTCCTCGTTACGCGAATTTCGAAGAGGAAGACAGATTCTAAAATGCATATTTCAAAAATCCAGATAGACGTGCCTTTAGTTCGATAACAGCACTACAAGAATTCCTTGTTGACACTTTTGGAATCAGATTTTTAGCGCGAATCTCGACATTGCTTGCATCGACGTAATCAATCGGCTTTGCTAGTGAAATTTGCTGAAAGGTCAAGAAAGTTTTGCGAATAATGATCAGACGGTCAACAGTCTGAGTATTTTCGGAAGATTGTGTAGAAGCGAAATAAACTGTCTTTCCGCTGTCTTCTACGCTTGCTTTTTTGCCTGACAAACTTCAACTACTTGGTACTTTTTCGTTATCCGGACCCATTTTTCTAAAATTTCTCTCAAAATGCGTGCTTCAGCCTAGAAGTTTTTTTCTCATAGATCCTGTGAGGACTGTCTTTTGGCCATGTGCCAAGATAAAAACTAACATGTTTTAGGCCACTTTGACATTTTTTGCAATCATTTCTGGTGAGGTACGTGAGCATTTAAAATGACTGAGATCTGCTCAGGGGTCTTTCATGAAAGCAAAACAATTTTAACGTTTATTGAATCATCTTGGTAACCTTCAGCATTGGTTTAAAAGCCAAGACTCAAAGAGATCCTGCTCTTAACATTATTCCGCCATGCGAATTCAACTGGAAAAAATATAAATGATTGCTTGAAGTACCTGGCTGCCAACTATTTGGTCGTTTTGATGAACAGTAGCCCACTTCTCTGTCCTGGGAAAACTTATTGTGTTTAACAAGCACATTTTCACGACGTTAAAGCTCATTCATGAAACTGTTGAAATGGGGTTATTATTGAATAAAAACAGATTAAACTCAAATTGATAGGTATGCTAAACAAATTCTTGGTGAAATCCGTTAAACATGTAGATGACACGTAAATTCTCCTCCCTGTAAAGATTTTACCAAATTTGGTACAAGAAAAGAAGCAATATCCTTTTTTGAAAAAACGAATCCGGATAACGGAAAAGTACCATCTACTTTTGCGAACCGGAAACCTGTACAGTCGAGTAAGTTTGCTTGTTAGTGTGTGCAACTGCACAATTTCCAGGATGTTGATAGTGAAACGTAGGTATTTTCGATGGGAAATACATGACGTACATCGTTTACGACAACTCAACCACCATTGGCCCAATCAATGAGTGAAATCACGAAAAGTACAAAAAAACAAAACATTATCTGGGCTTCATGTCGACCCCATCTTAGAAAATGAACAACTGCATCTTTTAGCAAAAACCTACGCGACTACTGGGTGGTCCACATGAAGTGCGACGGGTTTTCAAAAAAGTCCCTATTCTACCATGTGCTCTTTTCTGCTTCGCAGTCGAGTCGTTTCCTGCATAGTTTTGAGTCTTAATATAGTCAGAGTTCCAGATCAGAAAAGTGACTAAAAGCTTTTTGAGAAATTGCGGAATATGATTTTCTTTACAAGCCGAAATCTGTGGTAAAGCCAACAATTTTTCTGGTTCAGCTGCTAGAAAGCGCGATTTTCTCTTACCAAAACGTGTCAAATGAAGCAAAATCGTTTGGGGCTTCGTACTCAAAATGATCACGCGCATCCTGTAAAACTCGCGAGGGAGTTTGAGCGCACGTAACCAACGGCGGACATTTTCAGAATGGCTAGATCTTATACAGAATGTTCTTGGCTAGAAAATGCAGTTGGTTGTTTGAAATTATACTGTTGGGCATTTCTTTGCGTCACATCGCGTGTGGACCACCCAGTATAGCTTCGGCAAATTCTGGACCCATTTGTTCCAGCAGATGTATTAGCTCTAGATTAGAAGTGTACCCTTGGCCAGCTACTTATTTGGGGGCCTCTGCGTGAGGACATAATTGGTCTCGTCCTGTTTGCCTCATTTTTAGCACATTGCACAACAACGTCTTTGGGGATTTCGTAGCAGTGAGCAGCATTTCATCAACACGGAGAGTGGGGGGCAGATTATCTTCGACAAGAATTTGTGCAAATGAATGGCTTGCAAGATGGTACAAATGTAATTTTGCGCATATTTTGGAACTCTACTGGTCCTTAACAAACTTCATTAGAGTACATCGTTAAGTTTACTTGCTATCGGTGGCCGCCAGCTATATTGAATAATGTTTTATTTACTGGAAAAATATGGTAGTATGTGGTAGAAGAGCAGTTTGCTTCAAAAATTCGGATTCATCACATTTTCTAGCTGAGTCCTATGATGCTGGATTGGGATTTTGTGGTTGGCTGTTTATGTTTATTTCTTGGCTATGTGTTCTGGCGTCATTTCCGATCTCCATCTGCTTCTGCATAAAGGTGGGCCTGTTCCTTACGTATATATGAATAATCATGTATTTGCACATAGTGCATGGTTCTTCTTAGATGGTCGGGTAATTGTGCATAATGAGCAAGCGCCTCATAGACCTCTCGATTTCATTCAGTGTTTACTCATAGAAGCAGCGCTGGGGCAAAAACCTTTGTACATGCTGGACTTCTTACATCGGATTGGTCGAAAGCAGGGCTTAGCAGAAAAATTTTTGGAGCTTTCAGGTAGACGCTTAGTTCCTTCCCCTCCCCCTCCTCTCCAAAAAACATGGCACTAAATCTGAGCATGCACCATGGCTCCTGCGCCGAAAAATTTGCCACGAAATCGGCTCTCACAACCAGTTTCGCAAGCGCTGCAGAAATTTGTGCTCGTCCAATTCAAATTATAGGATCAAAATGCTTTTTTCTCCATTTCTGCGCTTTTAGAGGAATTTTCGAGATCGTATCAAATGAACGGAGCGAAAAGTCCTTTTATCGAGGATTTGCCTAGCTCATGGCCTTCCAGTTTAAGCATAAGAGGCGGATTCACCTCGGTTGTACGTTTACAAAGAAGATACATCTTGACCACCAAGCTTTTCTTAGCGAAAGTGATTACTTGGAATAAGTTAATAACGAGCAATTCTGTTTATGACTTCACCATCTTCCATTAGGTCAACGACCGCATGTTTGCATGTTTCAGTGTAATTGCAGGTTGTGCAGGAATACGAGCGGGCAGTCATTTTTCGTTTAGGCAGATTGATTGGAGGAGGTGCGAAAGGACCAGGTGAGTAAAAAGATCCAATACTTACTAGAAACTGGAAACATCCTAGTGTTTGTCAATGTTACCACTGAGTGAATTTGGGCAGGATTAACAAGCATGTGTGTATTTTCACTAGGCCCACAATCAATGGGAAATAGATTAGGTATTCTGTAGCAATGAAGATTGTATGAATGACTAAGTAGCGAAGCAGAATTGTGCACTCTTAGTCATAAAATGAGAGGGTGGCTGCAGTAAGCGTATCATCTAAATTTTTTCTCCAATGTTTGATTCATCTAAACCCCATCGTCTGGCTGCATACATGTGCCCATGCTGTGCTAGCGCCGTGCCAGACTTGGACACCCCCTGACCGATCCAACGGCGCTGGCACGGCACCAGCACCGCCCTAGCACGGGCCACTCTAACGAAGCCTATCGGAAGCAGCCATTTTCTTTCTGCATCGGTGATTGTCCTGAACTGAGTGACCTATTTTTCAGGGATCTTCTTCGTGCTGCCATGCATAGAATCGTATACAAAGGTAGATCTACGTACCGTGTCTTTCAATGTGCCTCCACAGGAGGTAAGTCATTTGAAAATCGGCGTCCACCAAAGCTCATCCCTCTTGTCCAGATCCTCACGAAGGATTCTGTGACCACATCAGTAGATGCCGTTGTTTATTATCGTGTATCGAATGCAACTGTGAGCGTAGCGAACGTCGAAAACGCTCATCATTCGACTAGGTACGTATATATACTTTCCTCTGAACAAGTGGAATTCATACCCACAAGTCAGGCTTGCTATGACATTGTTTTCGGTTGCTAGCCCAAACAACACTGCGCAATATGCTGGGCACAAGAAGTCTGGCAGAAATCTTGTCGGATCGTGATGCGATAGCCATTTCAATGCAGGTAAGCCATCTCACGCGAATTTAGTGGACAACAACTGTACAGTCGAGTAGATTTGCCGGTACTTATAGCGCCTTTGAAGTGCCGTTGTCATGGATATTGCAGTTATGCTCTAGAAATTGAATAGCGGTGGAAGTAAAAAAAAGAACACTTTTTTACCATATAGATTTCGCGTCTAGGGGCGTAGGGCTCTAAAAAGCTACAAATTGTTTGGTGACAATTGCAGCAAATGTGCAATTCGTTTCTAAATGAAACACCGTGCAACATCACAGGTGCAGAGAAAGAACTTACGAATAGTCGCTCTACCCATTCGTCTCGATTAAAAAAAATTTCTTCATCTAGACAACTTATGCGTAAATTTCTGCCAACTCTATACGTTTTCCTTGCAGGCCATACTCGATGAAGCGACGGAAAGCTGGGGTATAAAGGTGGAGCGCGTTGAGATGTAAGTGTTTCGTATTTATTCTGATTCAGTCAAGTGATTATTCTTTCAAGAAAGGACGTAAGACTGCCCGTTCAGTTGCAACGAGCGATGGCTGCAGAAGCTGAAGCCACTAGGGAGGCACGAGCAAAGGTGTTCAAAACAATATCTTCTCTTCTTTTCTTCTCAATATATGCTCTAAATAACATTCAAATTTGCCAAAACAATCTGCACACCGATAACTATTAGGTCGTTTCGAAAGTAATGTCGCTTTTTTCAAACGAACGCCACATTTCACTGAATCAAGATTTTCTAGAGTTCTTAGGAGCATTCGATGCAGCATTTCATTATCTTTCTAAGGGTCGTAATTTCGTTACAGAATATTCAATGAGCTCTCGAAACATTACCAAAGTCTGTGACCCATGCTTTTTGCCCTGGTCAAATTCGGCTATTTCTCTAAATTTTTGTACCTACTCTCCGAAGAAGTACAAGTGACAGATAGATAGAGCAGACACTATAGGACACATAGCAATTTTTTTCTTTTCCTTAGCTTGCTTTTTAGAGTTTCTGGAATCAATTTTTCAATGCGATCAAATTCCATATTTGGTCAACTGTAACCTCAAAGAACGACAACCGGCAAGCAAATCGGGTGTCATTCAACGCAGCTTTTTCTCCTCTTTCTACCAGTTGCTTTTTGTTCCGATTCATCAAGTTTTCCGATATAAAATCATCATAATTCAGGTTTTCCAGAGCGCCCCAGGCTGTACCCGAGATTTCCGAAAGTTGCTAATCTGAAGCGGTAAACGCTCATTTGGTTTGCAAAATTAGTGTCAAACCATAATCCATCTTTGTAAGTCAAAATACGAAGATTTGTTGGTGTTTGATGCATTTGTGTCTGAGACGAGCCTACTAAAATTCGGTGGTTCCATCAAAAAATCTGTACAAAAATTATGACGAGCTCTGAAAAGGTTTGCTCTATTCCCCCATTACTTGGACTCCTTCCAAGGGTTGTTATTAAAATTTTAAAAAAATTGTAAAACTTGACCTTCTCAAAAAGCATGGGTCGCAGTTTTTAGTAATTCTCCAAAAGCTTATCGATTATTATGCAGTAATTATATAACCATTAGAAAGAGTATGAAATGCTGCATCAAATGCTACCAAAATTTTTTACACATCTTTGTTCCACGAGATGTAGCGTACGTTTGAAAAAAGCGACATTACTTTTGGAACGACCTAATATGTGCAGAAAATATTGAATTTACCAGGTGATCGCTGCCGAGGGCGAACAAAAAGCTTCACGGTCTCTTCGCGATGCTGCTACTGTTATCGCTTCCACGCCAGCCGCTTTACAACTTCGCTATCTTCAAACTCTAAATAGTGTGGCGTGAGTTTCACTCATCATTTTCCAGTAATTTGTTGACTAGCATAGCTTACCACCAGCTAATGACCAATAGCTATCGTTGTTCCACGAAAGCACGATGCAATGGCATCCTTTTAAGACCGACTTAAGCTTTTTATGACTACTCAAGATTCTTAACATACCTAAAATTCCGTAGATATGCATACTAACGACGAAAGTCAAATTCTTAATTCAGTTCCACTCATACCCCCATAAAACTACGAAAACTTAGGGCATGCTTCATGAGTCGAACCATCTTTGAAGCTCTTCGAGTAATTTGTAGAGTTGAACACGATTTTAGAGCAAAAAAAGCAGACGGCACAGCCTTCATCCAAAATTATATCCAGAAATTCAAAACATTTTGACTATTTGACTTGGATAGCATCCAAATCCCGAGATTCGTGAATATTCAGCTTCCGAATTTCACTTAAAATCTCAAAATTTCTGATGATCTAATTTTCAACGTTTGATCGAAAGGTTCCAAAATGTCGGCCCTGCTTCATTTTAGGGTCGTGGCATCTTTGAGCAATTAATAGGGTTTTGATCTTCTTCAAAATAGGATATATTACCAGAGGGCAAGCAGATAAATATTTACATGCACGGAGAAACAGGGCTCGGCACGAGGTGACTACTTGAAGATGCAAAAAACGAAGTCCCCTTGACTTTTGCGAATTTTTACGGTCCCCTTTGGCCCCGGGCAGATTTCACGCGATTTGATCGTCGCGACTGAGTCGCGACGAGACAACTGTTACAACATCATTCCATGCTGATCAACTTTCATTCGGTTGTGATACTTTTCCAGCCCGAAATTTTTGAATGTGAAATGAAAATGAATGGAAATCTTGGCGATTAGATCGCGACGATAAGTCGCGTGAAGTCTGACCGGGGCCTTTGACCCTAGACCATAATCCCTAAAAAATCTTCGAAAAACGAATCGTCGACTGAAAAAAACGTCGCAAATTTTGTGTTTTTGCGGCCACAAAAACGAAACCCCCTTTCTTTTTGTTCCAAAAAACGATATCCTGCTTGCTCATAAGCCACCTGTGCCGAGCCCTGGGGAAAAATATGCACTAATGTCTTTTCAAGCTTCTCGTTTGAACCTTATCTCCCTTTGCAACCTGCTTCATTCCCTTTGGGTACCCAGGACGACCGCTATAAGAGACCACACCCAAATCCTGATGCCGGCGGAGTGCCTGGGAAACTCATATTCACTTCTAGAAGTGTTATCATATGAATATTCAATCGCTTGATTACGAGTATCTTCGATGTCAAATTTGATTCTTGGAAACTACCTCTTGAAAGATCAAACTTGAAATATTTAGGTATTTCATTCTAGTGATCTATTCATTATAAAGTATGCTATGAGCCAAAAATAGCTAGTTCATTCTCTAATCGATATATGATTTCAGAGCTGAGAAAAACTCCACGATTATTTTCCCTTTGCCCATGGAATTCGTACGACACCTCATCCACGATTGAAAGCATAATGTGGATTTCACTCTTTTCTATTTGTAATTGATTCATGTTCATATTCGTTTTACAATCGGGTGAATGTAAATCTATTGAGTTTTTGCACAAATAGAGAGTTAAGCTTTACGCAAAAAACATCCAAAGTTCTATTTCAGAATGCATCTCAATCGCCTAGGCTATATTTCTGATGAATCGAATCAAGTGCTTGTTGATTATCTACAAACAATTATGTGTGCTATCGGGCATTAAAAAAGTTCTTTGTACTGACGAATTATGTGACCTACTTCAACGCCAGTTACTGAGGAAGTAAAAAAGAAAACAAATATCCAGAGTACAGAACAAATCGCTATGATGCACCTCTTATGGAAAATTCTCTCTTGTTTCATGGACAAAGACAAATCTTTGAAATACATTGGAGCAATGTCCGGGCAGAAACGAAAATAAGGAGAAAGTCTATCAAGACGGTGCCTACTATGATATCCGGTTGTAACGGCCAATGTTTTTCGTCGTGTAAACAGTTGACACGTAGCGACCGTGTGCATACGGGCGCATGCACGGCTCTCCCCCCCCCCCGTTTATTTTCGCGCATAATGCACACCAGTTTTTCAAGTGTAGGCGAAACGTTCCAAAATAACTTCTATGCAGTAATAATACTGGGGGTTTGATTTTCATACGGAAAAAGTCAAGATAAATTTGAATAAAATCCATCTTTGATGTGGTAAAACATGTGACCATGTTTTTCTGAGAAGGCGAGAACTTGTGCTGTTCTGAGAGCAATTAAGGATGAACTCAGGCAAAAACGCCCTATATCATAACGCCTTTCACAAAAGAAGATTCCTCAAACATGATTTATTGTAGGAAAAAGTGATGCATAAATCTTCATATGTGTTTTCCGATAAGAGTCGGTGAAATGCATGGGAGCAGACTCTGCCTGTTTTATGCATAAGTGTCAAAAAGGACTCCCAGTCAATGATTTTGTGCACACGACGCACGCAACAAATGCGCCCTAATCTTAGTGGGAGCTTCGCCCAAAATGGCTGCAGTCGAGTAGATTTAATATGGTGTGCTTGCACAGAAGGAGAAATGCGGTAAAATTTGCGCGTCAACAAATAGCTTCAACTGTGACGCTGGCCAACTGCGTGCGCCAAATGCAGGCAATACTGGCGTGGCTATTTATTCACGAGCAAATTTCACCGCATTTCACCTTCTGTGCCGGCACACTATATTAAGCGAAAATCTAGTCGACTGTAGGTCGTCGACGTTATTGAATACGTGATGCTTGCAGAATGTTCAAACGAGAATGTTGAAAAACCGGTTCTGCAAAAAAATATCTAGACAAACAAAGTCTTTCAGTTTTTGTTTTTCAGAAAACACGAATTCCAATATTCGAGTATTGACACATTTCAAACTCTAATGTATTCTCGAATAACTAAACATGCTTGGATATTCGACCATTCGAGTCATAAAAATACTTAGTAAAAAGCAGTCAAATATTAGTTGGAGCCTCAGTTATTTATACGACACGTATAAATAACTGGGGGTCCGACTAATATTTGACTGCTTGTATTAGGTTGTAACAAAATTAATGCAGGTTTTGAATTCCAATCGCAATAAGTCATACACTTCTTATTTCTAACTAGGCTGCAAACTACCATTCGATAGAGCAAAGCAAGCTCTACAAGAAGGCTATCTTGCTTTAGCAACAACTCTGATCTACCACGAGTTTCGAGCCAAAAACTAAAACGATTCAGCTGTTTGAAAAATTGAGAAAAATCGTAGCTCAGTTCATAAAAACCCTACAAAAGTTCTAACTTGCTCACGTAAACACTATCCACATAAGTCTTATATGTACGCCATTGCCATATTTTTTCCTCTGTTAGAAATCGAAAAAACGAAATTTTTCATTCTTTTGCAAAAGTGATGCTGTGTCGTCCCCACATAAGTAGATGTTTACTACATATCTGTAGAAGTATAAACGTGAATTTCCAGCTCTCTACAAGCTTTAGTTCTCGAAAAATATCGAATACAGTTTTCGCTAGTCATGTGGTCCAAGCTAAAATTCAAATTTCTCGAGAACTAAAGCTTGTAGAGAGCTGAAAATTTACGTTTGTACTTCTACAGATTTGTAGTATACAATAACTTATGTGGGAACGGCACAGCAACACTTTCGCAAATGCACGAAAATTTCCGTTTACTTGATTTCTAACAGAGAAAAAAATACGGCAAAGGCGTATATAGATGTCTTATGCGAATAGTGTTTACGTGAGCAAGTTAGAATTTTTGTAGTTTTTTTATGAACTAAGTTACGATTTTTCTCAATTTTTCGGGCAGTTGAATCTTTTTAGCTTTTGGCTCGAAACTCGTGGTGGATCAGAGTTGTTGCTAAAGCAAGATAGCCTTCTTGTAGAGCTTGCTTTGCTCTATCGAATGGTACTTTGCAACCTAGTTAGAAATAAGAAGTGTATGACTTATTGCGGTTGGAATTCAAAACCTGCATTAATTTTGTTACAACCTAATACTTTCGATCGCTCAAAAACATCTCGATTTACTGATTTACCGAAAAAAGTTCGCCAAAAATGTATAAAGAAACTAATCCCCTCAACGCGACTTATATCGTACTTTTCGGTGAGGTGAGCAATCTTCCCTTATAAATTAGACAACCCCATAATTTGGAGCACGTGCTATTCTCAGTCTCCTTTATCTTAATATTTTTGTTCCAGACATTTGCAGGAGCGCAAATTCTGAACGGCTGAAACCGCGAAACTCGCAAATAAACAAAACTACAATTTCTTAACGAAAATCCATGATGTTGACCTCTTACGGCAAGACTATCGAAGGGCTACTGTAACCCTACAGTAGATGCTAGATACATAGGGTGCGGAAAAAGTACTGTCCATCAGTTTGCCTCCCAAAAAATCTCACAGATGGAGGAAACTTATGGTTTCTTAATTCCTGCATGTAGGCGAGAACTTGTAGATCAGAAATTTGGAACGGTTTCCTTCTATCCATTTAATCGAGTGATAACGGCGCGCAGCATCATCGACGATGCGCCGCAGCGTTTGGGCGCAATTTTGGGCCGTAACTATACCATCAGGAGTGATATCAGTTTCAGATTGAGGTCATATGTAGGGCATAATCTCCTCTCCAAAAGTCTGTACTTATTATTGATCAGCGACTTGAAATTTTGTCTCAACAATGAAAAATATCCCAAGCGAAATCCAAAAATTCTCAAAAAAGGCTAATCTATTATACTCTTGCTCAATACATTGGATCGGAACTATGATTCGAAATTCCAGATACAAATAAAAAGTAACAGGAATAATGAAAAAATATCGGGCTTTGTATGCATTATAATTTCGAGTCAGTAAACGAAAGTACTTAGTTTCTGTGCCACGTTTTCTGATCGCACCCTGTTGCGCCGCAGAATCTACTTCAAAAATTTTTCTTACTTTTCCCCTACTCAACTGCGATTTGGATATTTCCAGCATATCTCGAAGACACTACAACATTCCTTAAGCAGTAAAAAGATTTTTCAAATCCACGTCGGAAACAAAAGAGTTTCACAAAAAACTTCACACTTCCTTCACATCTGTAAAAGGGAGTTGCAAGATTTGATATGGGATGCGTTGCGAGAAGGGATCCGCCGCCATCTGAAACTGCAAAATTTGAAGCCAGTTTGTGTAAAATGCAAGAATACATTCACATCTTAGGATTTTTGTCAAATTTAGCAGAAAAATCTGTGATTACGCCGATTTTTTTGCCTTTATTTTGAGGGACAGTACTTTTTCCGCAGCCTGTAGAGATGACACACCTACGTAATAGCTTCGGTGACTTCCTTTACATAAGGTGGCATTTTGGATTTTCAAAAAGAAATTCTCCCTTGACATTATAGAAGATTACGGCATACTTTTGTGGTGTTTATAGAAAGTACTAGTTGGCTTACCCGGCTCCGCCCGGCCCTGTCATTATTATATTCGTAATCAGCATGCTCGATTACCCCCTGTGCCAACTCCCAGCCCCGTAGCTCAAATTTTGCCAATAATCGATAAAATCGATATTGATCGATGACGAAAAGTGGCCTATGACACCCGCAGGGGCCCGATGTGTATGTGTGCCAAGTTTGGTCCGGATCGGTTCAGAAATGGAATTCTCTATTCGGAACATACGTACATACATACATACAGACATACATACAAACAGACATTCAGCTTTATATATAAGATGACTAACAAACTGCAGCAAACGATGAGCGGCTGGAAGTGTAAAAAATACCAGCAACATCGGAGATTAAACCATAGCAGGCGAAAAAAGGCCGTTTCTCTATTGTCAACGGCCGCAACAGAACAAAGGGATGAAGCCAAGGTTATGATGAGTGCTCTTAGGTAGATCTTGAGCTAAGGAATAGATTTATGTAGGAAAGTTTTAGAAATTATGTGAAGAAGGGAGGAATTATGGCCCGTAGTAAACCCTCATCAGGGCATCTCTCTTGAGGCAGACCGGAGTTGATCTCATCGCGCCTCAGCACATAGCCAGGGGAGCGATTGATTTGGAGCAGATCACTTACTGGTCGTTCGCGTTTTCAAAGGCGGAACGTTTCTTCCATTTGTGCATTGTAGTCGAATGGATAAGACTAATGCGTCTCAAGCGGCAGAGTTGTTGTTCGAGTGCGGCTAGCGGCACCATTTTTGCTACTTGGCCTGGCGACCTTTGATAGCGGCCGTTATCAAAAAATCGATGATAGCAGCTATCAGAGATTTCACCTAGCAAACAACGAGATAAAACAAATATATGAGCGGCTTCACAACTTTGGCGAGGCGGAGCTGCGCTAGCGTGCCTTGCGTTGCGGTTGCCCTGTGCTGAGGCATACCTGATCCATCGATCTTCGGGGAAGATCACGATTCCGCCTCGCCAAAGTTGGGGAGTTGACAATACAATAATTTGGCACTCATACAAAGAAAAATTACACTTAACGAAAAACGAAGAAAAAGATAAATTTACTTCTTTGTCATCTGAAGTCGTTTTTCCGTAAAAAACGTGTATCATCTGTAAGAAAAATGCAAAAAAACCTTTTTTTCGATTTTGTCGCGCAATCAGCTGTTCATCGATCCTCACTCACAAGGGCGCCCGAAATTGTGCAGTTTTGGGAGTTTCGCACCGCAAAAGAACGTCAGCTGCGATGTTTCGTAAGTTACTCGGGAGCAACTTACGGAGATTTTCTCTGCGCTCTCCTCTTTAGCACAGTATTTACCTTATGTCGTCGCCCGGCTCATCTCCGATGACTCGGTCAGGAGCTGATTTCCCTGCCGGGTTTCGAAGCTCACCTGTAGGATGAGCTTGCACATTTACACCACGGAAAAGTGGGCAGTCCTCATCCCACCCAACAAAGCCTCATATGAGGGCCTCAGGGGAGATCATCTTCCGTGACCGAGCTTTACTATGGGCCTATGAATTTTTGGTCTCGCAATCTCGTGTGCTCGCAGGTTGCGCGGCAGCAACCTAGAATAGAAAAAGACATGTGTCCTTTCATTCACAAAGCTTTTTCAAAAAGTTTTGTACTTTTCTTTTCACCACTATCGGAAAGCTACACACTATATTTATGGCTTATTATTGTGCTTTTAACAAACTAATTATTTTTCTTGTACGCGCGAAGACTGTGTTTTAACGCGCTGAAATTGTGTGCACAAAGGCATATGTGTATGTATCTCATGTGATATGTGATCGTATTTGTAACGTGTTTCACCTGTCTACTGGCGAAATAACGTCAGAACTTCAAAATCGGGCCTTCCAAGAGTTAAAGTTGTGCTTTTTGATGCTTTACCAGCTTTCCGTAAATTATTTTGACCTGTACGGGATCCCTTTTGCTTTCCGCTCGATAAACGACATTCAGCGTGTCAAAGCGCCAACTTTGTTGAGCCGGTACTTCCTAAGCTATCTTTTAACACATTAACGAAATACGACCCACCGGTGGGTCGTAAGATTACTGAAGCTCTAGCTTTGCTAATTTACGATGGAATCTTACGGGGTTCTGATACATAATTGGGGACACTTAGGCGGAGCACCAGCCAAAGTGGTCCGGGCTCGGGATACTGTAATATAATCTTACGGTAGGTATGCCGTAGATAGAGACAAGGCACATACTTTGGCTCAAATTCTTCGCGGAATGATGCTGTTTCAGAACATTCAAGTGTACATGCACGAGAAGTACGCGGCGGGCAAGAAACTGATGTTAGCCCATCAAAAAATACCGATTTTATTCTTTATTGATTTTTTGCATAGTTCGTCCCAGGAAGCAGAAATCTTTCACATTTGCGTTTTGCAGCATGTGGATTGCGAAAATGTTAGTCTCAAGTTTTGATATCGCCTTCCTATATCCTTTTTTTTTTGATTATTACAAAAATTTCACCGTACTGCTAACGTAACCCCGCTGTGAACAGTAGTGAACAAAATGGATACAATAGTCGTGATCAGCACGTGAAATAATCTCAAAACACAATATGAAAATCCATAACGTTGGGTTCTTCCAGGTTGACTAGTAGTCATACAGTATAATGCCAAAAACTGCAATAGATCATATTCTGATATCCAGCGCCTTCGACAACTCCTCTGGGCATATTCTCGGAAACATGTTTTAAACATTTTCCAAAAAAACTACCATTTCAGACAGTACGACCCACGGGTGGGTCGTAAGTTTGACAAAACGAAAAAGGCTCTGGTCCAAAATCGGCCTTGTCGTGAATGTGTTAACACGTTTCGGACCGGTGCTGCACATGGTGCAGCACGCTGCTTTGAAGGATCTTTTTGACGTTTACAGGAAGCTTTCTTTTAGTCCAAGGTTATGAAGTCAAAGGCCTAAGCTTCTATTTTTCAATGGACTCTGTGGAGTTGCGTCGCCGTTATTTGTTTAGGAGATATAAGCACAAATCGAACAACAGTTGCAACGAAGTGCGGCAACGCGAACGACGCGTGCGACGTAGCAACTTTTCTTTGCTTCGATTTCGAAACGAAAAACCCTAGTTGCAATACTGATGTGTACCGTGTACAACATGGATACTTTTGGATACTATTAGAAACTGACTCCTTGTTTCTATCTTTTAGGAATGCACAGAAGTCCTTCTCAAGCGACAAAATTTAAACACTTGAATTCACTCAGAACTTTGGATATGGAACTTATTTGATAAGCTGTTTTCAGATGTAGTACACAGTCTATGAAATAAGGCCCTCTGTTGGCTAATGGCTGAAAGTGCATTCTTTTTCGCCGCGCGCGGTTTCGCGGTCCGAAACGTGTTAAGCACACTTTCTTTGAGACCTCAAAGGCTTACCGCATAAGAGAAACTTCGGCTTTGAGACGTTATTTTGAGTTCTTCTCACTTTTTTGAGAAGCAATTTCTGGGAGGAAATTCCCAATATGCGATGGTTGTGCAAGAAATGTCTGCATTCGGAAATTAGTTTACCAATTTTTTGCGGTGAGCTATAGGCTTTCGTCTTTGAATTTAGCGTGTTCCAAGTCATAGGGGATAAACAGAGGGACTATGTAGTTGTGGAATTGGTGCATACGCTCAAGCTAGGTTTGTTCAGAGAGAGAGGCATTTGATCAACTAAGACCTCTTTATACAGGGTGTCCCAAAAGTATGTATACACTGTTTGATCGTTAATATCTCTCTTCCCAAGAAGTTTTTTGTCTTGCTTCAGGTACCGTCTTGTAGAAGCTGGCTTCAACTTAGAGTTACAATATGGAGAGAATCACCGACCGCTCTTTATTACTGTAGGATTACGGTAGGAACTTGAAACATATGGTGTCAATGTGGAAAAAGCTGCCGTTTCAAAATTTTTCAAAAAATTGTGAAAACTCGTGTAATAGGGTTTTATGGACGTTGAGTTCAATACTCAACTATTCACAAGATTACGAAGCTTTCTAAACGGTGTAATCGCACTTTTTAGGAACATTGAAAAAATGGCCACTACCTCTTACCTGGCATAACTCTTTAATGAAGCAACATAAGAAGTTGGGAAGTGCACAGTTAGAATCAGCAACTCTAACTAGCTTAGTGTAAAAGTTTTCAGGCTGTTTTGTTTCTTTTCTGGGGCAAAATATGGCCTTTAATGGCTCAGAACCCTCTTCGAAGTTTCTACCGTACTCCTACAGTAAAGAAGAGAGATGGGTGATTCATTCTATACTGCAAATCTAAGCTGAAGCCAGCTTTACAAAACGGTACCTGAAGCAAGGCAAAAGACTTCTTGGGAAGAGAGATATCAACGATCAAACAGTGTATACATACTTTTGGGACACCCTGTATATCGCAAGGAGGGCGGAATGCCTATGTATGAAGTATAGCGTACTATGACCAGCTAGGTTCGCAATAATCGCAAAATCTGCCGAAATCATATGGTCATAAGCGATTAAACGTATACATTTTCTGGGACACCCTGTATAACTAACAGCGCTATATAACATTGTTAATATATTCAGCATTTACACTCTCTCCTTTCTTCAAACAAAAACATTTTTTTGTTCCATTCATCAGCTTTATATTAGGTTGGCACATAAGTAATTTAGCTTTTTATATAATTTTTGTCTTTTTGAACGTAGCGCATTCATACTCTGGTAATATTAGATTATGATGTGGATTGCAAATGGGGACATTTTTGCCGAATTTTGCCACCTTATGTAAGGCTACTATATGTTTGTCGTACAATGGGAGAATTTTTAGATTGCTTCTAAATTTGCTGAAACTTGGCCTATGGGAGTTATTCGACATGCCGATCAAAAAAAATGAGACCCGTTTCGCATGAAAAGGCCTCTTTTGTAAGGTCAAATAATGATTGTTATCTTCGACAAATGAATATGATATTCGTGTTCACCGTATTGGATTACCCTACTGTGCAAAGATTTAGCAGATTCTGTTTTTTCGCAGCTTAGTTATTAACAGATTGCCCACAAAACTTGACGCATTTGACTTGTTCCACCTCTCAAAAGCGCCTTATCTTAGTTTGTCTTTGAATTTCACTTCTTTTTTTTACTGATTTCAATGTATCAATTTCTAGCTACGTGCTGCATATGATTCCTTTTTGATATGTTTGATTCAGGTTTTGTACGGCTTCATGTTTGCCGAAAAACCGTGAAACCTCGATTTTCAAGGGTTCTCGAAAAGTGCTCAAATTTTTTCTACTACTTATCAAAAATCAAACAGTTTGCGCAGACTTGCAGCTTACGTCACACTCTACAAGATGCCACAAAATGAGAGTGCTACATTTAGTAAAAAATCATTGGGAAAGTTGCAAAACTTATGTGCCAAATTAATATTTTCCTCAAAAATTTATAATTTATTTCCTAGCAAAAAGTTGGTTTTCACTTTGTTTTATGATTTACACCATAACCCCCCTGACTTCTTGAGCTCTCAGTTTGAAAAAAAGTTAACAATGAAAACTTATAAAACTCGTTCAATTTCGATTTCAGCGCGTAGCAGTGTCTCAAAATTTTCATCAAGAGAAAGTGCTTAACGGAAAGAAGCTTAGCAGCTTGGTTTTGTCTTTTTTCTTCTTACACTCGCTTTCGAATCTTTCTGAGACTTTTGCACCGTCTTAATCTAAACTAGCTGGCTTACCCGGCACCGCCCGATCCTGTCAGCACATTATGATAAAGGTCCCATCCCTAACCCTGTACAACCTTTCCCTGTACCCACTTCTACATGCCAATTCCCTATTATCGCTGTGTTATCAGCATGCTCGATTACCCTCTGTGCCGACTCCCAGCCCCGTAACTCAAACTTCGCAAAAAAATCGATAAAATCGATAAAAGTTACGAATAATTTTGAAAACTAATATGCATTAGTAACCAGCATGCTCGATTACACCTTGTGCCAACTTCCAGCCACGCAGGTCAAACTTCACAAATCGATTAAAACCGATAAGATCGACATCGACCGATAACGAATAGTAGCCTACGACACCTGCCCCGCCCTGAAGTGTATGTGTGCCAAGTTTGGTCCGGATCGATTGAAAAATAAAATTTCCTATTAGGAACATACGTACAGACATACATACAGACAGACAGACAAACAGACATTCAGCTTTATACAGTAAACGTCGCGCGGTGGCGCGGTGGAAGCGGCTCACATGATATTCGAAAACAAGAAAGTATGAGGTACATTATACAGACACAGGTTGGCGGTATAGGAATACGTTGGAACACTGGTATTGCCGCATCAACTGTAGAGCTGTTGGAGATGTTGGTTCGTAGGGAGATAGGCAGGTCGTAGGACAACAGAGGCTCGGCATTGGAATTCCCCCTTGTGATCTCGTGGTGACTTATGTATCATGCTCAAAATGCGTATCATCCTCATATCTGAAACAATTGATCTTATTCTCATAACATATTAGTTTGCTGCATAAATTCTGTCCGATTTGATTTTAAGTTCAAAATGTCATAACTTCTTTCAATGTCAGCCTTTTTCCAAGATTTTAGTTTCTATGTGTTGAGCAGTTCCTTGGCTATCAGGAACATATTGAGACCTGCAAACATCCTTGTTGAGGAAGAAGCAAGAGTTCAAAAACTTCGCAGCGTTTCATTTTTCAAACCTGTCTTTTTTGACATGGCAATGCTCCCTTATGAGAATTGATAGGCATCTTACTTAACAATGGATAGACAGAGAAATCTTCGTAGATTATTTTGCAATATGAAAGGACCCATAGGGTCTGCGTTGCCGAGAGATTCTTTTGATCGAGCAAAAAAGAAGCCACTTTTTGACCTCGCTTCAGCCCATGTATGCATGCCTCTTTACAAATTATGAAAATTTTACAATTGACGTGAGCACCGAAAAGGAATTGGTAAATAGGACCTGCTAGCACTTGCTTTACCCTAGCACCTCCAACTTTGAACTCATCGATTACTTCTATTCACAGAAAGTTATTGCTTGTAAAGCATCTATACAAAAGATTAATGTTCGACAATAATTTTTACTAACAAGCTTACTTTTTTACTTTTTACTAACTAACTTTACTTTTCTTCATGGAACTGAGTTTCTGCATATACTAGCGTTCTACACCCTTATTCCGAAACTAGTGAAAGAACTTGACTTGAAGGGCGCATTGTAGAGATCTCGCAAGAACACATTTCGAATGAGGACGTACCTCGGCCACTTGGAGGTTTTAGGTCTGAAATCTCCTCACACTAAAAAATTTATTAAAATTTGATATGCATTAGAACGAGCAAGAAGAGCACTTTCTAATGATACTAAGGTACCGCATTAGAGATGAAATTCTCTTTGAACAGCTGCTCCAAACATAAGGCAAAAAAAATCGGACAGAACTTATGAAGCAGCCTAATACTTATCCATATCCATATATCCTTATCCTTATCCTTATCCATATATCTGTGCCTTATGTCTTGTTCTCACAACATAGCTTTCTCGTTTGCATTCCTATGCACGTACGCTTACAATATATAAGAATATCGCAAAGATTCCTCCTACTTTTGGTAGTTAGATGCTATTTTTCGTATTGTATTGCCGTTTTTCATCAAAGTTAAGGATTTTATTGTTGCTGACGAAGTAGAAACTTTCACATTTTATGGAAAGGATTTTAGCCATACTGTAGAGGAAAGCTCAGACAACACATTCAGCATCGGAACCGTGGCACTTCTATAAATTACACTTCAAAGTTACTTCTCGGAAAAAAGAACCTCTCTGCAAAAAATCACCAACTACATCTTTTCCAGGCTTACTTGAAATAAAAGTTATGACTCGTGCGCCGCCCATAAGCGGTCGGTTTTTATGGGTCTTCTTTTGATAGCTCGCTTGCTCTTTTTTCTTTTCTCATTCTAGTCACCCGCTAATCTCTCCTGCTTTATTTCGTTTTTCAAGTGTTTTAATGTAGCTGGGTAACCTCCATGATTTCCGGTTCACAACATTTTGAACACACGGTTACGGTAGTATGCTAAGTCTGCGCTACTAACAAGGGAAGCGTGTTTAGTAGTGGCCTTTTCAAATGAGACCCATACTGGTTCGAAGAGCGCAGTGATTCCAAATCTGCCTTCCAAATCTGCCAAGCTCCTCTGGACGTCGAGTTATGGGCGTTCTACAGGTCAAAAATTGGATGCAAAACTGGAACAAAATTGTCCAAATTTGCTCAGATGGTCCAGTGTCGAGTATCAGAGCAGTTCATACAATGGATACATCTTGTCTAATATGCTAATACTTAACATTGCTTTATCTGAGCGCTGGAAAGATTGTAACAATTGGTTTTACCTGAATTCTGCATTCATTTTGCATTCCAAAACTCGGCGTCCAGAGGCGCTTGGCAGATTTTGAAGGCAGATTTGGAATGGGCATGGGCAAAGAAAAGGCAGTGCTTTGTATTGAGTGCAAAAGGAGCTAGCTGACTTACCTTAGAAACGAAAATAATCGATGGCCATTTCAGTTAGTGGCCCAATATTTGGACTTCTCAGAGTTCGCCAACCTGGTCCACAGAAGTTATCTGGCTTTCTAATTACGAAAGTAATGCATTATACTTGGTAGGGTTTCTTTAAGATTTCCGATCGTGTAGTGGGCTTCCTTGTATTTCGTAAAGGACATGTCTGACATCGTTAACAAACATATATCGCTAACATCAATATCGCATTAACTATGACCCCCCTATCTGATTCCGCCCGGGTGGAGGGGGGGGGGGGAGGGGAGGCTTTGGAAAGAAGCTACGCCGCATTTCCGGTGGTATATCCTGGAGACCAATTGAGTTGCGTCGCTTTTAATTGCAGCCGTAGGAGTAGCGCAACTCCTGCCACCGGAATGGGCCACCTAATGCTAAGCCCTGAGATGTTCCAACTGTATAAATGCAAAGAAACAACAACTTAAAAGTGGATGAGTTTTAGGGATCAAAGGCTGAATCTAAGTGAAACGGTGTTAAATGATACAGAGAAGTAGAACACAAGAATTAGTAGAGAGAAGGGATAAATTTCCCGCCAATGACTCTTTTAAGGGAGATCAATTTTCTCTTCTTTCAATTTCCCTTGATATGCAAATACTTCTTCCTGACATTCTATTTTTAGCTCCATCCCCAAAGTCGTTAATCTTCCACATTTTGATCTCTTTATCTATGGAGAATAGGGCGAATGGCTCAATCCGCTGGCAGCGGTGGCTCCCGTGCTGCTTCAGTTAGGAGCGACACAACGTAAAGGGCCCTCAGGATATAGCACAGGCAAATGCGGCGTAACTTTACTCCATAATGCCCCGCCGCCGCCCAGGTGTGCCGTTCCACATCCCACGCTTGACTTTGGTGATGGCCCAATATCTCAGGTGTGCTTTTATCACAAAACGGGGTCTGGCAACAAAGAACCACGTTTACATTATCACCATGTCGTTTCATACGACCCCTTTCCCCTCAGTGACCCCTCAGTACGACCCCCCTCCTCGCCCGGTGTGGCGTGCCACACCCTACGCTTTACCGATAGTGATTACCAGGGTAAAGGGGGGTGCGGCACACGACCGTCGGATACGACCCCCCCCCCCTTGGGTCGGACCTCGCCACGACCCTCCCCCATTCCCTACCCCCCCCCCCCCCCCCACCCCACCCCCGAACTCCCAAGCTAGCTCTTGAGCTTCAGATTATGAGCAGATGTGAGCAAAAAAACTCAAAACCAAAAGCTTGTTCCTCAAGAAAATCACAAATTATAAGATGAAAAGGATAGATCACTCGTTATAAGAATAAACTGATAGAACATCTGCTTCAAACAAAGAAAAAACACTATCTCAGCAAGGCGCACCTTTTTGGGATTTGTGGCTAGCTGAAATTTCTTGAGCAAAAGTGCTTTCGTGAGTTCCGCATCCGTGCAGTTTTCCACGCGTTCATATTCATCGTCGGTCACCAACGGTTTGAAAGAATCGCAGATATAACGAATGACTTCGCTCATAGGAAGTAGTCGCCGGCAGCCACCTGTGAACACTGCATTGCAACAGCCACTGCATTCAGACGTTACTTAGATACTTAGATACTTAGATGGCCCGTCCTCACGTGACGTGCGGGCCCCAGTACAGAAGTCGCCATTGATCCCTGTCCCTCGCTTCGGACATCCACGATCTTCTTGGTCGTCGTCGGTGGCTGCGTCCACGAGTTCCAGGGGCAAGAATCGTATCCAGCTGATTTCTCAGCTGGTCCATCCGTTCCACGAACACGTCTGCCCATCTCGTCGGTGGTCTTCCTCGAGGACGTTTGGCTTCGCGAGGAATCCACTCAGATGTTCTTAGTGTCCATCTATCGTCCGTTCTTCTCATTATGTGACCGGCCCATCGGTGTTTCGCTTTCGCAACGTATTCCGCTGGGTCACGAAGACGGGACATTCTTCTCACATCCGTGCTGCGAAGTCCGACTAGATGTTGCTTGTGTCGGGTCATCTTCAGAAGACTGCGCTCGAGCGCTCTGTGGGTGGACCTTAAAGCTTTCGACGTGGTTACGGTGTCGGCCCAAGTCTCAGCTGCGTAGCAGAGCGCTGGGAGAACGGTTAAGTCGAACAGGTGGGCACGAAGCTCCGGCTCCGTCAGTTGGTCGGTGGCTTCCTTCAGAGGCCCGAAGGCGGCCCAGGCTGCTCTTCTTCTCCTGTTAAGTTCTTCCCTCAAGTCGTTCTCCATGTTCATCGAACGTCCGAGATACACCTAAGAAGACGTCTCCATGATAGGGGTGCCTTCCAATTCCATTTCTGCATCTTCGCAAAGGGCGTTCTTCATGAACTGAGTCTTCTTCCGATTTATTCGCAGTCCGATCTTCTTCCCTACTTCGTTTAGTTCCTTCAGCATCGCCTCTGCTTCAGTGATACTGCTCGAGAAAAGGACGATGTCATCCGCAAAACGAAGGTTGGATAGGAATCTCCCATCAACTCGTATGCCTCTCTCTTCCCAATCTAGTGACTTCATCAGCCACTGCAAGGCCGCGGTGAACAGCTTCGGCGAAATAGTGTCGCCTTGTCGAACCCCCTTCCCAATTGGAATGGTTAGGGGGCGATGGAATAGCTGCATCGTTGTTGTACAGTCCTTGTAGCAGTCGGCTAGTGTCCTCACGTAAGCTGGTTCCACTCCTTGATCGACTAGCGCAGACAGGATGGCGTTGGTTTCGACGCTGTCAAAGGCTTTCTCGTAGTCGACGAAGGTTAGGACGAGAGGCAGTCGGTACTCCCGGCAGAATTCTATGACCCTCGAAACCGTCTGGATGTGGTCCATGCAGCTGAATCCTTTGCGAAATCCAGCTTGTTCTTGGGGTTGGGCTTCATCCAGTGTCCTAGATATGCGTGCGAGGATAATCTTCGTGAAGAGCTTGTACAGCACACTCAGCAGGCATATTGGACGGTAATTTCGAAGATCTTCCCGTTCACCCTTCTTTAAAAGAAGGACGGCTCTTGACGTTCTCCACTGGTCGGGAATCCTCTCCTTCTGAAGGTAAGATGTCAGGTGCGACGCGAGAATCTCGTGTAGACGTTGTCCTCCGGCTCGCAGAAATTCGACGGAAAGATGGTCTGGTCCTGGAGCCGTGGATGTCTTCATGGTCTGAATCGCCGTGCGCACTTTAGCAGGTAGAATTCGTGGTGGTACTTCTCCAGTGGGAACAACGGGCATCGGCACGGGTGTTGATGAGCGGAAGAGGTTGAAGAATATGGTATAGAAGTTCTTCGCGATAGATTCCATCTTGTATCGAGAAGAAGTCGGAGTCCCGTCTTCGTTCAATAGTGCAGCCAGCGGTACGTGATATTCACAGAGGTCCCTTCGGCATTTCTTAAGACTTCGTCTTTCTTCGGCTGCTTCCAGTATCTTGGCTTGCCTGTACTTCCTGAGATCCTCCTGCAAAGCTGTTCTGCAACTGGCGTTGGCTATCAGTCGCTCGAGATGGGTTGCATTCGGATCCTGCCTCAGAAATCTTCTTCTTTCGAGCAATTCCTTGGTGGTCTTCGAAATACGTTCCAAGTTCTTCTCAGATGTCACTGAGGCACATTCTCCGCAGGCTCGCAATCCTTTCAGAAGCCGGTCGTAGTCGTACGTTGGGTCCTCCTCGATGGGCCAGTCACATCTTGATATGAGCTCCTCCAGCCTGTTGCCGTCGTAAACGACTTCCTTCCTTCTCGCGGCACTGTGACAGACTTTCTTTTCCAGCCTTCGGCTGAGTCGTATCTTCGCTCGAAGGAGGCGGTGATCGGAGCCACTGCAGAAGGATGGAACTACTGAGACATCGAGCAAGCTCCACCTTCGGTTGGCGAGAATGTGGTCGATCTCCGCGTGAGTCGTTCCGTTGGGCGATTCCCATGTCCACCGGCGATGTTCTTTCTTCATGAAGATGGAATTTCCATGGAAAAGTCGTGCGGCGGAGAGAAGCCCAACAAGACGGTTGCCGTTTTCGTTCCGGAGCCCATATCCAAACTTCCCGATCCTATATTCCTTTTCTAGTGGCATCCCGATTTTCGCATTGAAGTCGCCCACAACATACTTGTAGAAGGACTTTTCGTTGCGGACGACCTCCTCCACGTCTTCGTAGAAAGCATCTAGTTCTGAGTCGTCAGCTGCTGATGTTGGAGAGTAGCAGTTGATGATGCTGATGGTCTTCTGACGTGGAGGGCGTAGTCGTAGGATGGCTAGTCGGGGTGATAGGATCTCATGCGAATCGACAAGATGGACGATAGATGGGTGGACGACAAAGCCAACACCTCCCACGTTTCGTGATGGAACCTTCTCACCACGAATGATGAGTGTTCCATCATTCATCTGTCGCACGTCCTTCTTCCTGGACTTCGTTTCCTGCAGAGCGATGATGTGGTACTTGATGTGCTCTGCAGCGTCGAGAAGAGCGTGGAGGTCGGCGTTTGTGGAGACTGTCCTGGCGTTGTAGGTGCAGAGCATGAGGCAGTCTCCGTGGCGTGTCGTCCGGGCAGACGTGTCGTTTTTGTCCAATCCAAAAGGCGCCCTGAGGACCCTGACATCAGTCTTGCTACCACCCGGCGCCGTAGGCGGGATCCGATGTACAGGGTTTCTTTCTATTCTTCTAACTGGTAGAGTAATGAAATTTTTTCCCCTACAAGAGCAGACTTACTAGGCCAACTCTTGATTTCCACGGGGCGATCGCTGACCCCGGGCTTGGAGCGGGGAGAACCGCCTAGCGACCTGAAAACCAGACGGCGGCGGATCTGGCCTGGCCGGCTCTTAGCTAGGCATCCGGCCGAAACCGGAAACGTCGAACTCCTTCACAGCTTGGGAGGCCCTGCCAGAGTATACACTCGGCTGTGCATCGCAGTTCGACACCCAGTGTCACCCCCACGCCACGATGAGGCGGCCGACCATTGTGGGGGCATTCAGACGTTGTAAATCACAATCGTAGATATATATTAATCATCTTCAAAATATCGAATTTTTAGACATAGTACTGTTTATACCTCTTTCAGATACAAAGCATGGCACCACATGGTAAATGGGGCATCCGTTATGCACACCAATTGCACGCAAAGGTTCATCGTACAACTCTAATAAGTCCACGAAGACGTATTGATGGAAGAAATCTAGTTCTTCCACAATGAAACACTAAAGTTATATAAAAACAGCTGCGAAATTTCCAAAGATGGATGTGGATGTATAAAAAAACGTACGTCTATCATGGAAGCCTTCTCAAAATGGAATTCATATTCGTTTGTCCATCGCGATACAGGCATTTTGGGCAATACTTCGGGTAATTCGCGATGGAAGAAAACCTAAAGTAATAATGGCATTGAGTATTTTTGAATATGGAAAACACAATTTTTATGACTAAATTTATTCGCTAACGTGAACTTCGAACTTGTTGAAGATCTTACCGATAGTCCTTGAAACACGAATGATTCTTCACCAAATCAATCCTGTTCGAGTCCGAGTGCCTTCACCAAGTGGGGCAGAGGGTCTTCTATAGCCGTCCTCACCCCACTAGTCGGTCGGTGGTCGAATTTGAATTCGAACTGGAGCAGGTCGACGGCGGCAGAGCGCGGCAGACGCCGCCTTTTAGCCAACCGCTTGCACGAGCTTTTTTCTTATTTTCTTCATGTTTCTTGCTATCTCTCGTACTGCAGCTATGTTTTTAATTGTATCTTTAAATTTGTACAGCTAATTTTTTGAAACAAACACTTTTTGAGAGAATTCCAGCCCTATCGCAAAAAAAAACAATTTAGAGTACACAATCTAACGAAAAACTTGACACAGTTCATCAAATCGCATTTGTGTACATGTCATTACCCGAAAAGAGATTTTTCATCCAGAAATCATCCTTCTTCCCGCTTTACCTGAAAAAAAATGTGGAACAAACGAGCACAACTTCACAAAACAATAGTTAGCGGTATGAAATCTAAAAATCTGATTAAAAATATTGCAGCGATACAAGAAATAGCAAAGAAATATGAAGAAAATAAGAGAAATGCTCATGTGCAAGCGGTTGGCGGAGGGGCGGTCTGCCGCGCCCTGCCGCGCTCTGCCGCGGCCGGCCTGCTCCAGTTCGAATTCAAATTCGACCAGCGACCGACTAGTGGGGTGAGGACGACTATAACTTGTAAGATATAGTGATGCAAAGCATTCGCATTACTGAATAAAACACTTTGAAACGAGGTTACATCGCAAGTTAGGAGTGCAGCTGGGATTGGAGGAGGAGATAGGAGTTGTGGAAAGCATTCACATAAGTTTTCACACAGGGTCAGACGCTCCTCAAATTCGGTATCGTTTAGTCCTCTACGGCATTGCTGGAAACGACCTTTGTAGCTTAAAGCAGACGCGACCGAGACCAAGCTAACATTCGGTCATGAACAGATCTCTTAATTGGGAAGTTCTCATATAAGGAAACCAACGAAAAGGAGTACAAATTCTAAAACTGTCGCAGAACAATGCAAAGCATCTCCGAATTATTCAACTTGTCGCCTTTCTGCATTGTTTACGCAATAGCGCAGAAAGGCGGCAAGATGAATAGTTGGTGCTACCGTAACCCGATATTTTGGCAGCCGCACGACGGATGGTAGGTAGTAGAAAAAGCGCTATATCTCATTCTGTGCGGGAAAGTTTTGGATGAAAATCTTACAATGAAGGGAAGAAGGTTGAGCTGTAAAAAGACATAAAAACTGTAGACATTCGATGGCTTTAAGGGTAAGTTAATGGGGTGCGGCACACCCCCCTTAAAAGCTGCGGCGGCCGCAGTTTTTAAGGGGGTGTGCCGCACCCCATTAACTATATCAAAAAAACATTTTTAGCGGACAGTATTTATATGAATCGATAGCCTAAACCTTGTAGATTCCATAGGATGTTTTGAGCCTGATTCATCTTCTTAGCTCGGAGTAATATTTGGTGAAAGCACAGCGACAAAAGCGAAAAATGGGAAAAACGAGATTTTGGTTGGCTTCTAATTCCAGTTTGGGGGTCTTCTGAAGCGGGATTCCTGAAGTGGACAAAGAAGGAGTAGTGCTTTGTCTTGAGTGCAAAAACGGATAGCTAATTTACCTTTGAAACAAAGTTAACCATGTTGGAATTTAACCATTTCACTTAGGTAGCCTAGTATCTTGAATCTTCAGAATTCGCTCACACTTTGTCTACAGGGGTTAATTGACATGCTAATTATGGATACGATACGAATATCATGTTATCGCTATTGTCAGATTACCCAACTACGACATCCTCCCCTTTTGACTCCTCAATACGACCCCCCAGGTGTGGCCTGCCGCACCCCCCGCTTTACCCTGGTGACTACCCTTGATTGTTACTGGAATATGTGTCGTAGTAATGAAGCTTCCCCAAGGCCTTGGGCATTTACGCGATTCTGCCAACAAGACGACTGCTACGAGTCCATTGCATGCCAATCCTCCTGCATTTCGATTGTGATAGTTTTCCGGCACGAATAATCGTGACTAACTATCGTCACAACCGAAATGCAAGGAGATCAACATGCAATGGACGCGTAACAGTTATCTATTCGGGGGAATCGCGAGGCGACGTTTTCGAGTGAAGTATGCCCGAGGCCTTGGATAGCGTACTCGATGTCTGGGAAGGCCGGAATCTAATTATACTGTCGGGGGTATTTTTGCCTCTTGCCTATCCGTAAAATCTACTCCCAAGTTCACAATCTTTGAGTATGTACGCACTCCTAGTATTTTTTTCTCAAAACTACGTATATGTGTGTATCATATACCCTGTTTTTAATAGCCTTACATTGTTTTTATGACTTATTTCCGTTATCCGAACCCAATTCTTCAAAAAAAATTAATGCTTCTTTCTTTGTACCTTACTCGGACCCAATTTCACAGGTAGGAGTGTCAACCTTCGGTAACATTATAAAATATTGACATGTCATCAAAGTGTTCAACACGTTTCCTCAGGAATGTCTCCGTAGCACCAGCGCAAATTCATTCTGTTTTTATCAACATTCACCCCCTTTGGAATCAAAGATTACAAAGTTGAGATCATCATCAGCGACATTGAATTACTTCGCTTATCCGCTTAGATTATTTTCTCGTAGAATCCGTATGGCGAAAGCAGTTTATAGAAAAGGATATTTTCGAATCATTGCTGAAAGGCAATAGTTTTTGAGACCAAAGGCGATGCTGTCCTCGCTTGATTCGTAGATGTTTTTGAGGAAAAGAGAATGCGAACCGTATTGATGGGTGAGGGAACTTACCTACCCAAGATTTGCCAAAACCTACCTTAGGTGTTATGAGCTGTCAGCGACACTGAATAGCACCATATACTAATCAGCGCCAACATTAAATGAGCGGGATGTGACGTTCATTCTCAAAAATTTTTGGTGTCTATTCTTCATTTTCGAATCCAAAGTAATATTGAAGTATTAGTAACTGGAATCAGATTCAGCTAATTCTCCCAATCTAGGCAAAATTTCGTTTCTTTTGCAATGAAATCTATCATAAGAAAAATTCAAAAAATGGGGGGGGGGGGGTATTGAACGACTACTTGTTACTCGGGAAAAACCTCTCAGAAAACCCTTTGTTACCACCTTTCATCTTGACCCGGTATATACCGATATTGAAGTTTTAGTTTGCAGCTACTCTGGGGTTCATGCACTGCTGGGGCTAACTGTGTGAAGAGATCAGCCCTGCATACGGTGTTAATTAGCGTTACCGACAACTCATAAACCCTATGGTTATGTTGCGGCAATTTTTTCGGTTAGGTAAATTCCGTTCGCGTATTGATTACGGAACTGCAGCCGTCTCACATGAGGCGAAGTGATGCTCTCTCTAGTTGCAGTGGCTTCGCACTTCGACGGCTACAAGCTTGCTAGGAGGACGCGCAGGAGGAACCAAAAGCCTAGCCGGCAGTGTCCGCAGGAGATAATTAGAGGCGCGAGCACTGCGCCGGAGATTTGGCCAGGATCCAAGAAAACTTGGCAGGAATCCATAAATGTTCTTAAGAAAACTTACCTCGTAACTTCGCTGGGGAAAACGCTAGAGACATAAGTGGGGCAGTTTTGTAACCTGCGTTTTCAGCCGCATTTATAGGAGAAATGAAAGCGGAATTCACTTTTCATTCACAGTTAATCTTTGAATATGAATATCCTCAGAAAAACATTAGCTACGTCGAAGTACTTATGTTCAAGTTTCAAGATTTTTAGGAATTATTGAATGTCAAGAAACCGAAGTCGTCAAATCGTGACGCTGAAAATCGGTAATAGAAAACTGAAGATTAAATTGTTCACGAAATCTTGCTCGAATTCAAATCAAAAACCATCTGAAGACCATAATGGTAAATCTACAACTTACAGAAAATCTTACGTCAATGTGATGCAAATTCTCATTTTCTGGAAAATTTCCAATTTGGTTTGCAATCATTCAGTTTATCAATTCAAGGTTTCATCTTGGACTACTGACTTTAAGTTTACCTTCCCCTCCATTTTCCAACTTGAATAGTGAAAATTCTTTATGGCGAGTTTTTTTCGAATGACAGTTATTTCATTAAAAAGAAGCCATGAAAAGTGGATTTCAAAACTTTTACTCGTATTTCTCGTGCTTTTTCCCAAGCAGAGTTATGAAATACGTTTTCACATGGTCTCCTTCAAGTTTCTTTGCTATGTTGTTTTGGATCCTTGCCAAATCCTCCCCACAGTGCCTGCGCTATTAATTGCCTCCTGCGGATATGGCGGCAGGGCCTTTGGTCCCTCCTGCTACGCTGCCAGCTTGCTAATATTGTGACTAGATACATTTTGCTTCGCATGACTATGACCAAATCAGCACATCAAAGAGAATCTCTATGCAAAATTTCATACTGTCCCTAAACCAGCCTTGTACCGTACGCCAACCGTACCTTGATGGATCACGCAATACGGGCTACCGAAAAATTTGTCTCGATGAGTCGAGCACAACGCCCTTTCAGATACAAAATCCGTCTATCCTGATGGAAGTCATGGCGATATTCCGAGAATTCCGCGGAATATCCGAAATGTCGCGCGATTTCGCAAATGCCTCGGGAATTTCGCTCAAATACGTGAACTCTAACACGTTTCGGACCGGTGCTGCACATGGTGCAGCACACTGCTTTGAAGGATCTTTGTGAAGTGCAAGAGATTTTCTTTTAGACCAAGGTTATCAAGTCAAAGGCCTAAGCTCCTACTTTTCACATGACTCCGTAGAGTTGTGCCGCCTATATTTGTTTAGGAGATATGAGGACAAATCGAACAACAGTTGCAACGGAGTGCGGCAACGCGAACGACGCGTGCGACGTAGCAACTTTTCTTTGCTTCGATTTCGAAACGAAAAACCCTAGTTTCAATAGTGATGTGTACCGTGTACAACATAGTTACTTTTGAATACTATTTGAAACTGAGTTCTGGTTCCTATCTTTCAAAAAAGCGCAAAAGTCCCTCTCAAGCGACAAAATTCAAACACTTCGAGTTCACTCGGAACTTTGGGTATGGAGCTTATCTGAATTGCTGATTACAGATGTAGCACACAGTCTACGAAATAAGGTCCCTATGTTGGCGGATGGCTGAAAGTGCACTCTTTTTCGCCGCGCGCGATTCCAGCTAGGTGCCAGCTGAGCTGGAACCGACCCTTTGCTCACACGATCTTTCATACTTTTTTGTATAGATAGTATCCCCACTGCAAAATCATACAGGGAAGAAACGGCTTCATAATCCTTCTCCTAAGCTTCTTTATAGCCCTCGAAATTTTCACCGGCGCTCTGCTCCGATCGCAAAGCGCGCAGCCAAGCAAACGCGCGAATCTATCAATTTCGCTGAGGTGCTTTCAACCATACACATTGTATTGCACTTTGTTTACTCTATCCAACATCACTGCTAGAAAGAAGACGTTTTGCATCGAATCCTGTTTAGAGCGTTTGTCTATCGTTATTCTGAGTAAATTGAGAACAGTTCTGAAAACTGGCACGAATTTTTGAATCTACCTGATATTGATTAAAGTAAAACCGAACTGAATAGCTGCATCCTCGGTCTAAGTTCCTAAACAACTACCAAAATGCGATACGCTCTGCGTATCAATCATCTTGCTATTACAGCCATATATGTATAAATTGTCCAGTTTTTTTTTGTCTGTACCTGGAGTATGTGCGTACGCATGGATGCACGAAACGCTAAATGGAAGTCCGGGCAAGGCATACACGCTTATGGACGCGTTAGTCAACGTGTTAACCCCGGAAACAGCAACTGAGGAGCTGATCAATATTCTTCACTTCTGTCGAGAGATACACTAGATAAAGTGCGGGGTTTACTATGTCGTGGTATCCTAGAAGCTGGCGATCACAGCGAGTGCGCCTAGCATGCACACCATGCAGTGGCCGTGTTCCTCAACAAACCCAGGGGTTCCGATACTAGTGGGCCTGCCCCACGAGATCGTCATTCACGAAGCTTTGAAATTTACCTACATGGTTTATAATAATGTGCAAGTGATTTGTTTATTCCTGTAAATAACTAACATAATTGTTAATTTTTCAAGAAATTGGCCTTGTGAGATATTTTTAAAGGGCGCTGCCGCCACGCCCTCTTCTTCTAGATGGGGGCTATGAGCCCGCAGAAATTGGAAACCCCAGAAAATTTTTAAGTGCGTGGTTAAAGCCATGCACCTTCAACTAAAAAAATTTTGTCGCCCTTACTTCTTATAGAATCCCAATTTCAACCCTGATTTCTGGAAAGCCTACCTACTTTATGGAGCTCTGCGCGATAGTGAAAATCAATGAGCCGCGCATTCAGCTCCCTTGTTGCTGATCTTCTTCTGTCGAAAGCTTTTCTGCTATCAGTTTAGCTTTCAGTTACCTGATGCGATTTTTGAGGCACAGGATTATTCGAGCGTTTGAGGTCTTGTGCATCTTGCGCGTGCAATGGCCGCAAACTCACCGAAATTCTCATGATCAAGCAGAGCCCTATATCTACAGGGTGGCCGGTAAGTATGAGCATTACAACGTGGAAGTTTTTTCCGGATTCTATCATAATCGCAAGGCACTGTCATTAGGTTCAAGACAAGCCTGCTAACTCTGTATGTGTGTGCAGGTGCCCAATTTTGTGGGAATAACGCATTAAGATGTCTCTGTTTTTGACATGCAAAAATTACCTTATAAAACTTCGTACTGTATGAAAAAATTTGCAAACAAAATGACGCCCATATCGGCCACCTTGTAATCACTAGCAGACAATTTAAACAAATAATAGACAGTACATCCAGTTTCCCAGCAAACCCGTTGGTTACATATTTTCAAAAGGACATATTTATCTAATACCACCAGTGGAGAAGCAGCCTTCTTCGGTACCAGTCCAGTGGGTCTCATCATATGCGAAAACATGGAGCACTGCACGCAAGTGCCTTGTGAGGAACATTGTAGCTCACCGCTCTTGTCTGAACGTTACAAATTCATCACTTGAACTGACGAAGGGAAGGAGGATAATCCCCACCCAACAAAAATTTCTTTTCGGGAGCCGTGAACGTCACGATTTCAGGAGAATTTATTCATGGAAAAGCTCTCATGATTTTTCAATAAATAGTTAAGATGAAGCAATACGTGCTAGCATAGAAATCATTAGACACACGAGTTATAGAGAATGAAGATGACAAGAAAATATGATGTCGCTTGTGTACCGGATATCTACAGCTTACTAGCAGCACCCTTATCTAGAAAGAAACGTAGTTTCTTGCTAAATGGCCTCACACAAGATGCAGGAACATGTTGCACATCAGAATCAAGAACTGTCTGAAAGAGAATGTATCAGATTGTTGACTAAAAAGCTAAAATCTAAACATTTGGATCTGCACGATTGAATAAATAGATGTAAAAGAAGAATAAGAGCCTTTCTATGATGCAATTACGAAAACTGACCTTAACCATTGCTGCTTTATCTTCACCAGTAATAATAAAAGCTACATTCTTAGCAGCATTAAGCACTGGTAAAGTGAGCGAGATTCGTTGCGATGGCGGTTTCGGAGAATCGGTAACTGCCACTACCCATGTTAGTAGGTCATTCTGCAGAAAACATTTGCAGTTCTGTTTTGTTGCTTTTCACTCACTGACTGACCTTTTGAAGAAGGCGGTGACCCGGGAAAAGACTACATGTGTGACCATCAGGACCCATTCCAAGGAAAAGTATATCAAATCTTGGCAAACGACCTATTTGCTCCGGACATAATGTAGCGCGAAGCGTGCTTTCGTATTGCAAAGCAGTTTTTGAAGCTAAACCAATCAACGTGATAAATGCCGTGAAGTTTGAGGAACAAACCTGATTCTGCTATTTCTACGGGGACAACATATTGATGGCATTCCGATGGAAGATTCGCTAGATATTGACCGTAATTGCTTTCAGCATCAGTCACTGGCACAATTCTCTCGTCTACCTGCCATCAAGTATTAAAATATTGGACAAGAAGCAAGTACAACCCTTATAACCCTCCAACACACTGCTAACACAATATGAAATCAGAATAACTGTTTCTAAATAACGTTAGTATTTCTGGTCTACCACTACTAAATTTTTGTATTCTATTGGGTAATTATCAGATGCGCTGCTATGCCCCGATAGAGTTTGTGTTAATCAAGACGGAACTTCTCCTAAGCATGTACTACATTCAATCTGCTCAACTAGAGAATTTATGATACGAGGGACGCAAAGCCTAACAGAACAAACTCCACCAGTAACGTATCAAAGAATAAAATGCAAAAGAAAACCTCAGAGAGAACAAAGGAATAGGGAATTGATACTCACCATAAATAATCGTATGCGTTTCCACTCGAGATTTTCGATGGACTTCAGAACATCACAGATGAGTTTTGGCATGGAGCCACCTGAGATATAATGAAGATGATTTTGAGATATTGAAAATGTTTTTTTGATATGTCACTTTAAATTATACAATATCAATCTTCCTTGTGGCACTGTAGAACCAATGCTACACTTTTCAGCTGACAAGGTCCAAAAAGTTCAAGTTTTCAAAGTTTTCAAGTTTTTTATACTTGATGAAAGGATAAGAGTGTACACGTACACTGGCAAACTAGAAATCCCCAAAGGTCAAAAGCCTTGCCAAATCAGAACTATCGCACGCGGTTTTATCGCCTTTGTTAACTCCACTTTTTCCTACGATAAGGTGGATAATCTGAATGAAGATCTTTGCTTCCTTATTTTGTGGTATTGCAGGCATGTCGCTGTTCGAAACACTATCACTTAATGAAGTGCTAATCCACTTTTTGTTCTCCACCCTTATTTCCCTTATTCCATTCCCCAACAGCGCAATAAACCAACATTGAATCAAGTCTTCCCGCCAGCACTGTATTGAAAAAGACCACTATTGACCCACACGCGATACGATCAAAATCACATAAGCAAGTTACAAGACGTGACTAATCATTCACACTAGTATAGATGACAAGAGAGTATGTTTGGGTATCTCTACGAATACGTGACAGTCCAGCTAAAAACTCGATAAAATAAATATAAGCGAGAATCTTAGAGGTATAAAAATATAGCTCTGCAAAATCATATCAAAAGTATCAAAAGTATCAAAATCATATCATAAAGTATGATACGAAAGATATTCTTCCTTGATGCCTTTGATGACACTTGAGCAATCCTTTGAGGTTCGTTGATGAGGTACGATATATAAGCAAGACCGTTTGCTAGCTTTACGAGCGTGTTATCGCATTCAAATCGCCAAATCTTCCACTGCACAAAACACTGCACAAAACAATGCACTGACTTCGATAGAGATCAACTAGATTCCAAAAAAGATTTTAGTTTTTGCCGTCCTTGCCAACAATAATGAGTTTGCTATAGAAAGCTCATCATTGCAAAGTTTACGAAAAAAACTTACCGGAAACACCTATTGAAATAAGCCCATTATACTTTATAAGATGAGCAACAGTTTCTACTAGGTACTCCTTGACATTGTGGCACAGTTCCTCTCGCGTCTGAGCAGTGACAGTGTAAGGACGATCCTTCACAACAGTCATCACGATATGACGCAAGAAAATTGCGAACCACCTGTAGTATATCTACCATCGTACAATGTGGAACGGTACGCATAGGACTTAAGATAATTCGTTTTGGTCCGACAACCAAAAAACATCTATCACACTGGAGTGTATGCAACTTTATTTATGACTCATATAACAATAACAACAACGCAACAATAACATCTGATATTATGTTTTTCAACGCTGCCTAGCAACTGCTTCAACAGCTGTTTCCTTTTCTCGATTTTGCTCCTCGGCAAAGGCAGTATACTTCACCTTAGGCACTAAGGATGAGATGAGATCCGGACGGGAGAGATCTTTTATCTGAAATGGAATATGTAAAGAAGCATAATTTATGGGAGCGTTCACGTTTGAGCCTTCTCCGACAGCATGAGGTGTTCAGCACAATACGCCAGGAGAATCCTTTTCATGGAGAATGTGAATAAAAACGAGGAACATGTGCACAGGGAAACTTCTTTATGACAGGTACAAAAAGAAGGGGCACTCAACTTGTAAGGCATCGAAGCCTTATATGCTGCGCTGATAGTCACATCGTAAATACAGATAAGGCTTTTAGAAAGCATATGGATACATGCAGCAAGTCGAACCATGCACAAACGTTTGTCCAGCGGGACAGCCTAAATACAATATAGAGCGCAAAAACATCCGATTCGATAAAAAGCGGGAAATGAGCACCTTAGCACCTTAGTTATGATCATAACTACTAAAAGAGAACTACAGCCAACTCACTAATGTTATATCCTGTCCATAACCACCGTCGGGGTCAGCGCTCATTTCTGGCGAAATCCAGATGACTCCATTACAACCGATAGTTACACCGATTCCAAACAGAACATGCATATACTCTTTTTGCGGTTTGATCAGACTGGGCAACACCTAAACGACAAATCAAGTAAAGCGAAATGATACACCACAAGTATCTGGGCCGCTAGGTGAGAAGAACAGCACTGAAGCAGAGCGAAGCCTAAGCAAGACTGCTTCAATTTTCCTTAACAAAACTTTTAATCAAAGTTTTACGACTATTCCAAATCAGTCTTACGGAATCGCTACTCAGAGGTTGCACGAAATGCAGTTATATATTATTCAATAAAGATGTAACTCATATCAGCAAGCGAAACCGATGAAAAGGACACCAGATAAGACTTTGTGATGAGATTTGGAAGACACCTTGACGAAAATTCCTTGTCCAAGTTTTCCATATTTCAGATTCCTTGTATGCAACTGCAACTGCCCTCTTGCCTTTATCTGTTGGACCTCTGCGCTCACAAGATCGCCCACAACGAGATGCTCACTCATCGCAATTTCATCCTCAAATCAATCATAATTACCAAAAAATAGTCAAAAATTTACGGTCCCGATTTCTACCTCCAGACCCTTACGCCTAAGCTCGCCACCCGGAAGATTGACGTTGTTCAAATGAAGAATAGCAGCGATCCTGTAGTTAACATCTACCTGAGAGTAAAACATACAAGTTCTGTTCCACTGGACAACATTTTACCTTCCACCGAGCTTTCTGCACGCTGATGATGCGACCGACAACAACGTCACCTACTTTAGGGACGTATCTATATTTGATACAGAAAGAGACAATAGGTATTTCGAAAGACGGTGACTGACTTCGACTTGTAGGGCTCTACCATATACAGCTGACTGTACTGGACTTTCAATCCAGACACGCTGGCCAGCAATTCGCTCCCTACCAAAACAGTACCATGACCACTGAAAGCATCTGATTCCACAAGATTGGCAAGGCAAAAAATATAACAAAATAGAGTATACGCGTTCGACTTTTGTTAAGCAAACTTCCACTCCGATCCACACCTCAAGACATTGTCATCGTAGGACAACAGTCGTCCACAGTGAACTGATTCCGCACGGGAAAGTGCGCGTTCGTTTCTATCACACTCACAGGAATGCCGTAGCGGTGGTGAGCTCACATGTATAGACATGTATGCAGATCTAAATAGCCGCTACAACTATGAATAATATTCTGCAGAGGCAAGGTAGGATCGGTCTGTGACGCATAAGAAAGCATATCCGAAAATAATAAAGTTTATATTTCTTTACTGACATTTCACGATCGTCACAATGCACAACCATAATTATATTCTAACAAAAACGGTTCAGAATGTAAACTACGTCGTGAACTTGAGGAATCAAGACATGAACAGAGAGCAACGGAATACAATCAAACATCGTACTGCACCGCTTCATTCACAGGGTAAGAGGTTGTTCATTGATCTACGCAGATGGAGTGATGAAAATAGAACACCGACATTTCTGCAGCTCCCTAAATTAATTTACATGGAAAACTATCGCTGCACATAGCCAGCGCGAAAACAATAACTGCAGAAGCATGGACTCAAATGCGCAAGATTTCGCTATGTTTCCAGAATAAATTTTCTGAATATCACTAAGAAAACTATGCATTAAAAACAGTAATAATGTCTGTAAACACTGAGTTACAAAAAACTACATTCTTGAGCGAATTTTTGTATTTGTCCGCAGAAGAACAAAACTGTTCATCATTAACTGAACTTGATAGCCAGCTTGATAATGAGTTGATACGTAATAGATTTACAACGAACAAATTATATTACTCAAGAAATTCTCAATCAAAAAACAGCAGAAAAAAAAGAATTCACAAAGGAAACGGCATACAAAAAAGAGCAAGAAAATGCAGAACGAACAAATACATACAATCTCAACGAAAAAAAAAACATCTCACCCAGAAGTAACCTCTTTGAGCATATTATCTTCAGTTTTGCCAGGAACAGCGCTTTCCTCTTCACACACCTCATTTTTGGCAGCGTCAGTCTCTTCCAAGCGAGCTCCCATAGCATCCTCATTTGCTTTCACTTCGACATTCTCCTTGCCAATCTTTTCATCTTCGGGATTAGCACCATCCAACTGTTCCCCATCATTCGGTTTCTCAATTCTTCCCTCCTTGAGCTTTTCCTTCTCAAGCGTTTCTTTCTCTTGCCTTTCCCTTTCAAGATTCTCTTTTTCAAAAGGCCAGTAAACTCCAGCATCCCAACGCCTTTGCTTCTCTTCTTCGGTTTCGTCCTCCCAAATCTCTTCTTCATCACGACCTGCAAGTTTGTTTTCCACTGCTTCCGGTTCGGAATATCCCACTCGACGATTCCTGTCAAGCTTTTCACGGATTTTGATTATTTCTCTGACAGGATTGCTTTTATAAGAGTATCGGTAACCACCCCGCCCATCAACAGGAGCGCGAGCGCGGCATCCATAAGACGGAGGAAAGTTGCAGTCCATCTGTATCAACAAATAGCATTTTTCGATAGTGGAAGTACTATACGCTCACCACAGGAATGGGAGGGTAGTTGATCGGAAGGTTTGCGTCGAGCCACGTGTTTCGAAAGCGTTGATCTTGTTGTGGCATACACATGAATGGTGGTCGAGCAGGATAATACGTATTTCGGGCTACCAACAAGGGAAATCCTGAAACATTGCACGCCTTAAGTCCTTAATGATATCGCTAGCAAATGAGTATGGCTGAAAGTAGAGGCGCGATCTCTAGACGTGTGTTAAGACGAAATTTTGTGGGGATTTACTCCATTCTTGATTACGGAAAGACTATATTATTAAATGTGCAACAATTTTCGAGAACATTAGATTGACTTGAATCACAAGCTACGTCCAATTGCTAAATGAACAACTATGCGAATAACGATAGTGATTACGGAGAGGGTTATGTATAACAGAAGACAGCAAGTACAGAGAAAACAGCCCAGTGCTACCAGAAATTCTACGGAAACGGTCAGGAGGCGCGATTCGGCTGTCACCTGCTGAAAGCTCCAGTTTAGTGCTATGTGGGTCTTCAAAAGTACTAGATAAAGTGCATAAGCTTACTATCTGTCTGATGTCACCACTTGCTGAGTTTCATGGTTTCTGCTATAAAACGGACTGAAATATTTACGAGTTTGTGCTTAAATGCATTTTCAAGGGTTTTTGACCTTCAAAATTGCTGTTTTGAATTTATTCTAGAATATTAAGATTGAACAACCCATGCAACTATCTCACAGTATATCTTTTTCAAAATTTCATATACTTTTAGAAAGCTGTAAAACACTTATTATGTGCTATTTGGTGTCCAGCTGGTAATAAAAATCGCACCTCTTGACATACACCCAAATTCTACGAGTAGCATGGGAGAGGTCGACGATCATGTACCGCAATTCAGAAATCAATCGCCCGCTTAAGATTTCGTGTTTTCCCTAAAGCCAATACTTTTGTGCATGTGCTTTTTTACATGCTGTTTATGGATATGCCAGTATCAAAAAAGTTGCTAACACATGATTCATACCAGTATCTATACCAGCCTAACATTCACACTCAACGCAAACCCTTGAAAGGCAGCGTCCGGCAGCTCCGGAAGCACTCATTTTCGAGGGATTACGGCAACAGGCTCCCCATCCAAGCCGACTGCAGCTGCAAAATACCGCTTCTGGAGCAAGAAAATGGCTCCAGAAATTTCGACATAGCCGCCCCTTATTTACTTCCTCCTTACCGAAGGGGAAATCGCCGAGGCACGACCGTTGCAATGCTGTCTTGGATGCGGAGGCGTAAGCCGGCACGTTTTTTGCTTCGGTAAAGACGAGACCTAATGGAGGGGCGGTATATCGGAACTTGCAAAGCGATTTTCTTGCTCTAGTAGTGCTTTGCAGTCACAATCGCTGCGGCTTGCATGGATGCAGCCCATTCCAGCAATCCGTTGGAACCTTTTAGATCTGCCTATACACTGTCGTCAAGATTCTAACACACAATGCCATACTCATAGCTTACACGCGACTCCCAAACCGACTCTGATTTGACCCCTCACCGTCTGACTCGTAACCAGAAATCAGATTACCGTCGTTTTTGTTATCAGTGTAATGAATCACGACGCTACTCCAGCATCCGTAACCCATCTTCAAAGTCGTAAACTTCCAAACTTGCTCTTATCGCGTGTACATGTCGTAACTCCAAAATGGCACTGCCGTGCGGGCTAAGGCTATACCCTAGACAGAACTCAAGCGATGACTGTGATTTTGGACATTACAGTACACTACAGTATCTGCCGTAACCGCGCGGGATGACGCCCTCAGGGGAAAATGATATATGTCACCACATTGCCAGTCCCTTAAGACCGTAACTTCGACCACCTATTACGTACAAACGTAATCCAAAAAAGGTACGAACTCATGAAAACACGTCTAAAAACCTTCAGGAGCTGAGCTGATTTTAGATTCGAAGTTTTGGGACCCGGATATTCGAAGGGCGCTTCAAGACAGGGTCCGGGCTAATCTGTGTACCTGGACGTCTTATGTGGACTGGGAATTCTTAGCCAACAAAGGGATAATGGGAGACTGTGTATATACAAGGCGAGTTACCGCATCATGAATCTACAACGCCTATCGCATCCAGATCTCAATCTGCAAACGGTAACCCTGACGGCTATATCGCCATTTTCCGCTGCTGAGTTGTGTAGCATTCGATAAGTACCATGCTTGAGGCACCATCCTCTATGTAGCGACTGGGGATAGAGGAGTGGGTGATTATGACGTAGCGTAAGCAGGTTCAAACCCTCTGTAAACAACAGGTTATTCACTCGTTCCAGCAATGAGCTCCGTAATTCGCAAACAGGCTCGTCAGGCTGATCTATCAGACATTCGTACTACCATATACAATGAGTTAAGAAAATCTCCATATGAAGTTTGTATTTACAATACGGCATAATGTCGCTGGAAGGAGGGGGGGGGGGGAGGTGTCAACATTACAAAAACACGTGCCCACGGGAGGTATGTTCACCCCTAACCTACCACCACAGCAATGTATACTTCATTCTCCACATATCAGCTGATAGAAAGACTACAGGCTAAAATTACAACTACTACAGCAAGCTATTCGACCCATAGCGCCGATACGACTGTACAGTACTGCAGTGCTGCCAATAGCGGCTGCCCCGTCCCAGCATGGTTACCCATCTGCGTCAAGAACGTTAATGAGTAGGGCTAGAAGCGCTTGCAAGGTACTACCACAGTCGTTCTACAAAAGGAAATGTTGCAAAGATAAAGACTACCGTGGAAAACGATCTGGTTTATAGCATAAAGTGGAAGCTTGCACACCGCAAGCAGCACTCAAAGGCAATGCCCCGACAAGATGTCAAACTAGAGCTTTTTCTCTTACCTGAGGTAATCCGTCTTGCCAAATCCAAAAATGTGGCTTGGAAAGCGCGAAAATGTCGAAAAGGGTTTTCCCGAACTCCTCATTGAAGATGTGTAAAGCGGAGCCCGCCAACGTCGGAGAAGCACACATTGTGGGGATCACAGGCTCAATTGCTTGAATTGCTTGCGCTAAGCGCGTTCTGGCGTGCAGTTTGAATCCATCGTAGTGGGGTCTCGAAAGCAGTTGGGTCTGGCAAGCTAGAGGAGCGAATTTTGGGCTTTGCAAACGTGCTTTTTCGCTCCAGAATTTGCTGATTCTTAGAGGCTTATGCAACGTTACGAAATACTAGTAAGTTCCACTTCATCGGTTCGCTGCCTTTAGTACTCGTGTTGCGGTCGCCTCAGCGACGCAGTATGAAACGACTCAAACAGTTACGTAGTTAAAGGCACCGTTCACCCATATTTTCGACTTCTATGTTTTGGTCGTTTCCGGGATCTTCCCACGTCCCTGATTCCAAATGTGAAATCAGGAACCCGCGAAATCCCCGACAATCCCCTTTCCGGAGAACCCACAGGCCAGTTCTCCGAAACGGTCACTGGATGGGCGCGCACGGACGGGCAGGTATTACTGGAAGGGGCGGTGCCGACCTGGGCTCCTCATGCACCTTCTCTATTCGAAGCGATTTTCTCGCTTCCGAAGCGACACGCGGCTTGAGCTTTGGCTTGACAGGGGTCCTATTATTAAATGCTGCGAAAAGCTCAAAACCCTCAACTTAGGGTGAACGGTGCCTTTGAGGGATGTTCCGGCGCTATTCGGCTACCCAGGCTCCAAAATTCTGGAGTCATGGCATTCGCTCAAAATTGGTTCATAGAGGCTAGATGACATGCTGATCAAAGATGGCAAACTATTTTTTCTCACGAAGACACGTCCTTGCACTGAGTAAGAAAGAGGTCAAAACCATATGTCCCTGATCTAATCTATAGGGGTAGGCACGCTATCCACGATAGCTTATTGATTGACGGTGAAGCATCTTCTCAGGTTACGAGTGTAGGGTAAAAGGGTCAAAATTCAACTTTGCTTAGAATTTGATGTAGGAGGCTTCTCCAGCATGGTAATTACCATTATGGTAAGTCGTCTGAGAAAGCGAAGCTGCATTGACCACATCGCATGTCATCATATTGAGGATTCAAAATTTTTCGAATCGTCTGCCAGTATTCGCAAAATAAAAGGACTGGAATATTCTGAAATATTCGACTGCCAAATAATATTCAACTTTCGGGTATTATTCGACTCTTTGAATAATCGACTTTCCGGATAATTCGCATTAGACTACTTCATATGAACTTCAAGTAATTATTCGTTCGGTTCAACGTATATCACCTACTCTAATGATGCAAAAAAATTTTCTTTAACGCACGACTGATTCGTTATCTTAATCAGCATGCTGAACCGCTCTAGAAAGGTTCTGAGCAAATTTGATCATCTGCTGTCACCCACTCTAGCCTGAATAATGGCGTCACAGTGCAAATCAGTAAGTTTGGATAGTGTGCTAGACAACCATAAGATCAAATTTCGGCGATACCTGTGATCTGACTCCCTAGCGTATAAATACCGTTACCAAACTGGGTGAAATTTTTGTGCAGAAAAGTGTGATATTGGTGATCGATATATCAGATAACCTCCACGAAACAAGCTCGGACGAAAGCCATGGCTTTGGAATTTTGGCTACGTATAGCCCACAGCGCCGTTGTTCTAATCGAATGATGTCGATGTTCCCACCTATTTGCACCTACTTAGGATTGGCAGAAAATAAAAAAAAATTTCCCGAGAACTGTCTAGAAATACTCCGCTCGTGATCTGCATAACATATCAGGTCACAAATAACGCAACTGTACATCACAGCCATCACGCTAATACCACCAACCTTGTCTGTAACTCGCAGGACCCCTCATGTCCGGCATTCTTGGCCCCATGTCGAAGTTACATTTATCCATTGGGCGGTCACCACGAGGCCCAAAACTTCGAGAAGGTTGATCACCATTGCTTCGATTGAACGTTGCACATCTCTCCTACAGTTATCATTGTTTTTTCGTCTCCACCTGCACGTAATGAACAACAACGTGATTAAAGGTTTGGAAAAAATAGGCAAGAAGAAAATGCTCGAGAAATTTCGGTGGGACCCACTCCTAGCACAGGAGAGATTTCAGCATCTCTTCCACCGTTTTCCATTTTTCCACTCTCAGCTATACGGCCAACGCGCTGGCTTTTATGTGCTCCACGGCCACTTACGCTGTTATTTTCTCGGTTCTCGCGTTCGGATTTTTCTGACCTGTGAAATGAGTTTGACTCGAGAACGTCCCAAAGATTCCTATACCTACCCTCGCTGCTCTACGCGTTCCTTCTGAACAGCTCCTTTTCGAATACGCTCTTCCCACGTGAGTTCTCTCGGCGAAGCTCTAGTGCGACGCTCGCGCTCCTCCATACGACGTCGTCTAGCGCTACCACCACCACTTGCACTATCTCCATCCTTACCAAGACCAGGCCAATGCTATATAAACGAATTTCCGCAGATTTAACCAAGACCAAAATGTTCAAGCTGATCAAACCTTGTCCTGCACAGACATCTTGCTAAACTGATCCGTAAAGGAGCCAACCGATGGTGCAAGATTGGCACTTGGGCCGATGGGCTGCTCATCCCGCTAGAAAATAGGCTCTTCCAATAGTCATAAGGAATTAAGGGAGCAGACTACCAAAGATCAATCACTTACAAAGCCGTCGTGCGCTGAACCGTTGAATGAAGGTACCTTCAACGTCAATGCATGAGATGCAATACAGTTTGAGTAAGCGCTCTCACCTCTGGCTCATCTCTCAGCTCCGGAGGAATGCTCGATGTGCTGCTGACCCAACTGGCTGTATACGCAGCAGCAGAGTTCTGAGTTGCATTCTCCAACATAGACAGGCTAGCTGTTATGAGGACTTTCATGTCAGTTGCACTTGGAAATGCGAGCTTACCATGAAATGTATTGTCACTGTTGTCGGTTTTCAAACTGGGTGGAGGGCGAGTTGTGTTAGGCATACTTGAACGTTGGCGATCGTAGCAATCCTTCAATATCAGCATTCAATGAACACCATATCATATGAGAAGTAACACGAACGATAAAAGTTTAATCCTGAAAAGAAGTCTAGTGTCACTTTTATGAAGACGTCCACTCACACAAATGTAGAAACGACAGCGATTTCGTGCATGAGACGGAGCACCTTTATTCCACATCAAAGTGTGATACATTCTTAGACTCAGATCGTCCAACTGCGCTGATATCTTTGACCGCGAGGCAAAGGAACACCACAATTCCAAGTGGCTTAAAATTGCCGCGTCGGCGTTCCAAAGTGACTACGCGCGCGCGCGGTTGGAGCAACTTGGGTCCTGAAGCGCTGCAAGTTTGGCATGAATCGGTGACGCGCACTCTTCTCCGGATTACTGCCACCAATGTTTGGAGTTAATCGTGCGAAACTATATCGCCGTTGTTGAAAACGTAAGAATTGATATAAGAGCTAGTAAATAAAGGTGTCCGTGCACAATTTTGCGACAACCGTTCTCGCACTTTGCATATACTCAAAAAGCCACAGGCGAATAACTTTCAAGACCTGTGGCTTCCGATCCAGCCAGAGAAATGCTTATCAATTTGACCGCAGTCTAGAACAACCGGGCGCCATCGTGATGTGTGTAACATATTTTATTCAAGATGCTAAAAACTTGTAGAAGACAATCAAAGCATTTGTGAGAACACCAAGCTACTTTATGCTGCTGCAAATTTCACGCACTACGCGCTTCATCTATGCATTACGTTTCCTATAGCTCAAATGGTTGTTACTAACATTGGGGGGAAGGCCCAGTAACTTTCATCTCCACAAAGCCACATTCGGCCAATTACTAGGTAAATTTAGCACATGAAGGTTTTTCCAAGCGATAGCGTACGACTTGGGGCCGCATGCACTAATATCCCCGCTGGGGAGGGGATCGCAGCTCAGAAGAAAGCTTCATATTCTGAAGCTCCAGATATCTAGATTTCACGCTGTCTACCTATCCGCAAGTATTCCTACTATCCTTCACTATGAACATATTGAACAGGAGCAAGAAGCTGTACAAGTCGCATTTTCCGGGTTTTGTATGATCCCTGATAATCCCCGGCGCTTTTCTTCAAAGTCATCTTTCTTTCTTTGAAGAACAAATGAGTTTTTGAAAAATCGAATTTTCGGTAAACCACAACTTTCAACTTGTGGTTCATCGCAAATTTCATGACTCCGATACATCACTTGTTCTTATCAGCAACATGCTTAGCACTGTTGTGTTAGATAATTAGTAGAACTTTGGAAGGTTTTCGTTAACTTCAAAGAAAGATAAATGACTTTGAAGAAAAGCGCCGGGGATCATCAGGGATCATACAAAAGCCGGAAAATGCAGCTTGTACAGCTTCTTGCTCCTGTTCAATATGTTCATAGTGAAGGATAGTAGGAATACTTGCGGACAGGTAGACAGCGTGAAATCCAGATATCTGAAGCTTCAGGGTATGAGGCTTTCTTTTAAGCTGAGATCCCTCCTCGCGGGGATGTTAGTGCATGCGGCCCTTGCATGCATCACAAAGCGCTGGGTCCCCCACAAAAGCATGCAAGTCAATGTAATCTCTGTCTCATAAGGCTCGTGTTGCTCGGGTTCCGCCCGGCCACCTCGCCTGGGCTGTGCACTTTCGCGAGCGTACTAAAAGCACGCGCTACACTTAATCGATTTAATCCACTTTATCCACTTGGTCAAACCCGTGAGCTCACCCATAACAAAGCGTATATCCACTAGATCAATTTTGCTATTGGTCAGTTCACTGATTTGATAGCGAAATCGACGAAGTGGATCAAGCGGATCAAGTGGATCAAGTACGGCGCGTGCCTAATCATTTTTCATGCCTAATTAGGGGTTAAAACTCGGTCTTCTCCACGCTCAGTTTAAAGTTTCTTTAGAAAGCACGCTCACGAAAGAGAGTCAGAGCCCAAACGAGGCAATCGCGCGGAACCCTAGCCGCACGAGCACCATCACTCCTAACAAGAAAAAGGGTATGAGCTATCGAAAGACTAACAAGGGTATTCAGAAATCGAAGGGCCAATCTAAACAAGCTGTATATCACTGGATGCAGCATAAAACGCTGACTTCGACTGTCTTCCATATCTGCTTAGCGCCTATGCGGGCGAAGCTATGAACCTTTGAAGGCCGTTATTTTGCTAAAAAATCGTGCAAGCAAAGCGCAGATTTGACAGTACAGAACCATGTTCGGTTTGATGCTGGGCCAAAACATGCAGCTAAGTGAGCTGAAAGTGCAACAATGTGGTTTTTCCGCAATAAAAATGCTCATTCGTCCACAAAGGCGCTAAGCAGATATGGAATATAGGTTCGAATCAGCGCTATAAGCTCTTCCAAGACGAAGGCGGTCGGTTCGATGCGCGACGGGGCTGTGACGCAGCTGTGACGCGGCTGTGAAGCAGCCGCGTCACAAACGCGTTGCACATTGAACCGACCGCCTTCGTCTTGGAAGAGCTTATAAATGTTGCACTGAATGGTAGGCAGCTTGCTTGGGTTGGCCACTTCGACATTTGACCATTCCCTTGTAAGGCGCAAGACCTAGGGGTGCGCATGCGGTTTTATCAGCAGAGCGAGTGAGGCGCAGGCTTTACAGCGCTGAAGATAGCGCGCGCCGCTTCGCCCGCTCAACTGTTACTGCTATTGCGCCCCCGCTAAATACGGTGCCGGGGACGGACTAAAGATGGGTTTCTTGGCCGTTAATGAATCATTTGTACTGCAGTACGGACAATGATTCGATTAGCGCCCGACAATCACTTTTTAAAAATTCCACGAGCCAAATTTGCTAGACGCCGCCTTTAAGAACGCAGGCGATTTTGCTAGTCTTCAAAAGCTGTACGTGGTGTGCATTTTGAGAGATCTGAAGACATCTGCACATCCCCAGGGGCGGTATTTATATGTCCTGTACGTCGCTCTCATGCCTGTTCGGGAACCTAATGTGGAGAGCAGCACGCCAACAGCGCGTGCGGGCGCAATCCACAAATGCCTTCTGGTGTGAATTTTGCATACCGCAAACACATGAAAACCCGTCATTTCTTATTGTTTCTTCCTTTCTTTCGGACCGCGAGCTCAGTTTTTATGATTATAAGCACCTTTGATAATCACTTCAACAATATTAAAGTCAAATCAAGGAGTTATAGTCATTCTTCTCAAAAAGGTGCCATAAACGGCCAACTCGTCCTAAATATCAGTAATGCATTAAATATCAGTGTATAGATTATTCAATGTTCTGGGATAAATTAGAAGGTACTATTCCACTTAAGACAACGCAAAAATTGAAAATCACGGATTTCGCTGAAACTTCGCCTAGGGAGTTATTCGACCTGCTAATTACGAAAATGATATCGATTCCGCGTAGTGGGGCCATCTTCGTGGGGTTATGGTAGGCGTACGGTATGGGGTCAAAATCTCAGAATTCGCTAAAACTTTGCATAGGGGGGTTATTCGACATGCTAATCACGAATATCATATCCATTCCCCACGAAAACGCTATGCGGTAGGGTTACGATAGAATTACGGTATGGGGTCAGAATCATAAAATTCGCTGAAACCTTGCATAGGGGGGTTGTTCGACATGCTGATCACGAAAATGATGGTATTTTTGCAGGTAGGGGATTTCGCAAGAACATAATGCTTTCCACGCAGAACGACGCGTGCGACACACTCTGCGGCGGAAACTGGAGGAGGAAAGACGTGCGTGAACGTGTAGTCAAAACCAGGGAGGCGCTGGAGACCGCCCGTGCGAAAAGACCGTCTCCATTGCATGATTTGGCCCTTGGAGACCCTGGCCCCCGTACCATAATCCTACCGTAACCCTACCGCATGACGTTTTCGTGGAAAATCAATATGATATTCGTGATCACCATGTCGAATACCCCCCCTACGCAAAGTTTCAGCGAATTCTGAGGTTTTGACTCGATACCGTACACCTACCGTAACCCCTCGAAAATGCCCCACCATGCAAAATGAATATCATTTTCGTGATCAGCAGGCCGAATAACCCCCCTAGGTAAAGTTTCAGCGAAAGCGGTGGTTTTCAATTTTTGCGTTGTACTAACACATTCACGACAGGGCCGATTTTTCGATTACTGCCATTTCGGACCAGAGCATATTTCGCAAAACTGAGTTTGCGTGATATTTTCAGGTCACTGATGGGTCCTGTGACCTGAAGTGTTAATCTTCTAAGGAGTACTCCAAGAGGTGTATACAGAAGTTTACTTGGTTTGCCTTAAAAGTTTCACAATGAACTAACAAGATCAAAAACTTCAGGAAGCATACGACCCACCGATGGGTCGTATTGTCGTGAATGTGTTAAGTGGAATAGCGCCAGTTAAGAATTGCAGAAATGTGCAAAGTAGAAAGGTCTTGTTTCATGGCACAATGAAGACAATACGTATCAAAATGTACGAAATAGAAGGGTAGATCGTTATTGTTTGATCCTCACCCAAGCACTGCGTGAGCTCAAGGGTCCGATCTGGCAAGTTCGGCCATGTCTGGCACGGCAGACCCGATCTCGATAGATGGGCTCTGCTGCCCATTTGGGCCATGCTAACCAAATTACGGGTTGAATACTCTCGCATGTTCCGACCGTGTATAACGATGCAACGCACCTGAACAGCAAACGGGAGATTGATAAATACCGCCCCAGATCGCGTAGCAAGTGAAATAGCGAGAGCTCTGCCCACCCTTGGGCCCTGAGCTACCTCACGCGATTTCAGTCGGACGCAGTTTGGCAATACTCCAATTGTTCATAACTCATCGTAAGGGGTTTCCGAATGTACGGAAGACAAGGCATTTCATCAACCTACGAAAGTTGCACATGCTGCACATTTGGGGTCTGCAAGTTTTAAAGTTAAAGACATCTGGCAAACTTCCAGACTGCGTGGCGACCGAAATCGCGTGAGGTATGCCCACGGCGTTAGGCCTCGGCCATACCCCGCGTAATTTCAATGGCAGCGCATTTTGGATGACAACGATCG